GTTAGGACGTTAAGATTGTCTGGGGAGGCCCTGCTCTCGGTCCCGCCGGCTTCACAAGCACGCCTGGTGGGGACGAGAGACAGGGCCTTCTCAGTGGTGGCCCCTCGGCTGTGGAACGCCCTTCCTACAGACATTAGATCGGCCCCCTCCTATCTGGCATTCCGGAAGAGAGTGAAGACCTGGCTCTTCGAGCAGGCTTTCAACTAAGCAGTGCAATTGATTGATTACTGGAATATGGATTAATGGACAACGAGATCGGATGCTGATTCTATTGATGAGATGTGATGAATTGTTGTTTTCCTGAATTGTTGTATTCATGTTCTGATGTTAATTAATTGATATTACTGTTTTAAATGATTAATGATTTTGTACTGTGTTGTTGATACTGGTTGTTAACCGCTCTGAGTTGCCTGATGGCTGAGAAGAGCCATATAAAAGTGAAGTAAATAAATAAATAAATAATAGAGCTTTTTCGACCTATGCTCCAATTCTTGTTCTTGGGCTGCCAGAATCAGGCCCTCCGTCTCCTTTTCCAAAATTCCATTTGTGAACCACAGCCATGTTTTTTCTTTGTCAATTTGGCTCATTATCTACCAACTGAAGGGTTGCCAGTTTGAAGCCCCGAATTGATGTGAGCACCCGACTGTAAGCCCAGCTCACTGTTGACCTAAGCAGTTCGAAAAGTTTGAGTAGTAAGTAGAGAAATTACATACCGCTAAATCAAGTGGGGAGGTATTTTATGACACCATAAAGAAAAAGATCAGAAAATGCCGTGACCAAAAGGAAATTCTGATGGCTGTCAGATGGAGCGAGAGCACCCCCCTGTGGCAGAATTAAAGTACAACCTCCAAGGTGCCAAAAAAGCTGGACGTCAACACAAAATACTTCCTTTCTATTCTGTCTCTGTCCTGTCTATCCAAAACAGCACTGGATGTTTGCCGTTTATGTGTAGTGCAATCCACGCTGAGTCCCCTTGGGGACATAGGGCAGAACATAAATAAAGTATTATTATCATTCATGGGTTTCGGTGTTCAATGTGCATCCTGGAACCAAACCCAGCACAGTAAGGGTCACTGTTCTTTTACTTAAGGGATTTGTTATTTTTGTACTTAGGCATGCACTAATTGCTATTGTGGTGGTACAGTTCGTTCTCCATATTCATGGATTCAACCAGCCAATGTTCAAAAAAAGTTTGATTTGCATACCTATTTTATAGACTTGGGGTCACATACAAAAATCTTGGGCAAAAAGGAGTTGCAAGTTGAGAAGATTTCAGAAGCTCTCTGATAGGCCCACCCATCATTCGTCCACACGGAGAACACTGGGGCCTGTCTGAGCCCAATCCCTTGCCTATCTAACATTATTGGTTTGCTCTCCCCTTCCAAGTGCAAAGGATGCATGCCCCAGAGTGGTGGGATGGGCTATAAAGGGTGGGCAGAATGTGTTTGGGTGTAAAGATATTGAAAGTAGCCATAGCTAACCACTTAACACAGTGTTTCTCAACCTGGGGGTCGGGACCCCTGGATGGGTCGTGAGGGGGTGTCAGAGGGGTCACCAAAGACCATCAGAAAACAGTATTTTCTGTTGGTCATGGGGGTTTTGTGTGGGAAGTTTGGCCCAATTCTAACCTTGGTGGGGTTCAGAATGCTCTTTGATTATAGGTGTACTATAAATCCCAGCAACTACAACTCCCAAATGTCAAGTCTATTTTCCCCAAACTCCACCAGAGTTCACATTTGGACATATTGATTTTCATGCCAAGTTTGGTCCAGATCCATCATTGTTTTGAGTCCACAGTGGTCTATGGATGGAGGTGAACTACAACTCCAGAACTCAAGGTCAATGCCCACCAAACCTTTCCAGTATTTTGTTGGTCATGGGAGTCCACAGTGCTCCCTGGATGTAGGTAAATAAATGGAGTAAGTAAGTAAGTAAGTAAGTAAGTAAGTAAATAAATAAATAGGTGAACTACAACTCCAAAACTCAAAAGTCAGTGCCCACCAAACCCTTCTAGTATTTTCTGTTGGTCATGGGAGTACTGTGTGCCAAGTTTGGTTCAATTCCATCACTGGTGCAGTTCAGAATGCTCTTTGATTTGTAGGTGAACTATACATCCCAGCAACTACAACTCCCAAATGATGGAATCAATCCCCCCAAATCCCACCAGTATTCGAATTTGGGCGTATCGGGTCTTTGTGCCAAATTTGGTCTAGTGAATGAAAACACATCCTGCAAGAAAGGAGATTCCATCTGAACATGAGGAAGAACTTCCTGACTGTGAGAGCCGTTCAGCAGTGGAACTCTCTGCCCCGGAGTGTAGTGGAGGCTCCTTCTTTGGAAGCTTTTAAACAGAGGCTGGATGGCCATCTGTCAGGGGTGATTTGAATGCAATATTCCTGCTTCTTGGCCGAATGGGATTGGACTGGATGGCCCATGAGGTCTCTTCCAACTCTTTGATTCTATGATTCTCAACCTGGGGGTCGGGACCCCTGGATGGGTTGTGAGGGGGTGTCAGAGGGGTCACCAAAGACCATCAGAAAACAGTATTTTCTGTTGGTCATGGGGGTTATGTGTGGGAAGTTTAGCCCAATTCTAACCTTGATGGGGTTCAGAATGCTCTTCGATTATAGGTGTACTATAAATCCCAGCAACTACAACTCCCAAACCCTTCTAGTATTTTCTGTTGGTCATGGGATTTCTATGTGCCAAGTTTGGTTCAATTCCATCACTGGTGGAGTTCAGAATGCTCTTTGATTATAGGTGAACTATAAATCCCAGCAACTACAACTCCCAAATGATGGAATCAATCCCCACAAATCCCACCAGTATTCAAATTTGGGTGTATTGGGTATTTGTGCCAAGTTTGGTCCAGTGAATGAAAACACATCCTGCATTTCAGATATTTACATTCATAACAGTAGCAAAATTACAGCTGTGAAGTAGTAATGAAAATAATTTTATGGTTGGGGGATCACCACAACATAAGGAACTGTATTAAGGGGGTTGCAGCATTAGGAAGGTTGAGAACCACTGAGTCTTAACAGCTCACTCGATACCCAATAAAAAACTTTGCAGAAGTAAGGCAAACACCCAAATTCAATGACAGATTTCAATGACAAGCAAAGGAAGACACACACAGACAAGTTTAATCATGGTCCGTTGTATTTTCCCCCCCTGACAATCATACACACTGATTGACTCTCAAACAATGGTTGGCAAACAAACAACCAAGATCTGATATGCGTTCAAGACACGTTTGCAGCAATCAAGACAGGAACCGGACACATGCTACATGACTGCCTGATGGCTACAAGGCTACAGAAGGGACGGTCCAGGACTGGCCACCTCCTGCATGCTGCTAATGCATGCCCTTGGGATCGCCCCACAAAGAGGGGCTAGCAGAGGGCGGAGGGAGCCTGCAAGCAAGTTGACTCTCTGCAATCCATCAACACACATTGACCCAAATGAAGAAGGTGGGGGAGAAGAAAGGGGTCCATTTAGGTGTCAGAATATAGGCTCATCAGCTGCATGAATTCCCTTACACTAATCCTTCATATGTGTCTGGATCACAACTGCCAGCAACTCTGGTAAGCCTAGGCAATTGTGAGAAATATATTGGAAGTTGCAGCCTTATAACACCTGGAGAACTACATGATCCCCCATCCTTACCTATATTATGTATACATTATTGTAGGATACAAAGGGCACATGTACACAACTCCTGCTTGGGAGACAACTTCAGCAGCAACTTCAGACAACTTCTGCAGCGAACAATGATACAGCACCACCACGAGTTCAGATTTCTGACTGTTTTGAACTAGTTGATATCATTTGCAGACCACGAAAGAAGGATGGAGGACTTCTGAAGGGCAGTGGAAAGAAAGATCTTTAAAGTTGGGGGAATGGCAAAACACTTGCTGTCTTGGGCAGCTCCAAGGTTTCCTCCCTGGGAACCCTGGCATGACGGGACATTCTGGGATAAAAAAAGAAGGCTACCAACAAGGGAAGATTTGAGTCTGTTGAGGAAATGGTGGCATCACAGAGGCAGGCAGAATAATGCTATCCTAGACCTATAACACCTTCTCAGCCCTTTAAGATCTTCAACTCCCTCCAAATCATCCCTGGATTTGGTCCTGTCACCTTAATTTCGAACTAAGGTTAGATAATTTGGAGTTGTTGGGTTTCATCCCTGACTGTACAAGTCTCCAGCTCTCAATGAGTAGTTAGCCTAGATAGACTTAGGGATTCCTCTCCAATTTCCTTTAGCTAGGTTGTTTAAGAAGGGGTTAAAAGGGAGGGGGGTTGTCTTACTGATCTTTGCATGGAACTATCTCCTCCCCATTTGAATACCTAGGAATATAATCCTATAGGGAAACTTAACTTCCTCTTTTAAAGGTATTTTTATTGCCCTGGGCTGGCCATGTGGCCTGTCTCCATTTTCTGGTCTCTTCTCCTTTTGTCTTCTCTAGAGTGAGGAAGCATCTTGCCATTGTCAAGGCAAAGATGTAGTAGATATAGTAACTTTTACTATTTCTCTCTTTTAATCATTACATGCAGCCCACCCATTGTCATTGTGATTGTCATTGTGAAAGAGTTGGAAGAGACCGCATGGGCCATCCAGTCCAACCCTATTCTGCCAAGAAGCAGGTTATGTATTTACATGTTTTATTTTATTATGAAGTTGTTGTTTATTGTTTGCGTTTTCGGTTGTGTTTTGGTTTTATTTTTATTGTAATTAGTTGTTCGGGCTTGGCCTCATGTAAGCCGCTCCGAGTCCCCACTGGGGAGATGGTGGCGGGGTATAAATAAAGTATTATTATTATTAGGTTCTTGTGGGTTTTTTTCGGGCTATAGAGCCATGTTCTAGAGGCATTTTCTCCTGACGTTTCGTCTGCATCTATGGCAAGCATCCTCAGAGGTAGTGAGGTCTGTTGGAAGTAGGAAAATGGGTTTATATATCTGTGGAATGACCAGGGTGAGAGAAAGGACATTCACACCTAGCTGCAGCTAGGTGTGAATGTTTCAACTGACCACCTTGATTAGCATTTAATGGTTTGGAAGTGCCTGGGGGGAATCTTTTGTTGAGAGTGATTTTTTTTTGTCGTGTCAGGAGCAACTTGAGAAACTGCAGCCCCTGGTGGCGCAGAGGGTTAAACCCCTGTGCCGGCAGGACTGAAGACTGACAGGTTGCAGGTTCGAATCCTGGGAGAGGCGGATGAGCTCCCTCTGTCAGCTCCAGCTCCCCAAGCGGGGACATGAGAGAAGCCTCCCACAAGGATGATAAAAACATCAAATCATCCTGGCGTCCCCTGGGCAACGTCCTTGCAGACAGCCAATTCTCTCACACAAGAAGCAACTTGCAGTTGAGAGTGATTTGATGTGCCTGATTGTTTACTCTCTGTTGTTTTGCATCAGGAGAAAATGCCTCTAGAACATGGCCACATAGCCCAGAAAACCTACAACAACTCATTATTATTATTATTCCTTTTTCCTTAGAAGATAGCTCAGTGAAGCTAGTCAGCTCCAAGAACCTTTCCTATCTAGAATGGATTTATTTTATCTTCAATAAACAAATTATTTTTGATCCTATGAGTTGTGGATCTGCAATCCTGTTCCATCCTGTTGAAAGGAAGTCAATTCTTGCTCACTACATGTAGTTTCTGCTGCTTATTTACTGTGCACTCTGCTATATTTTTGGTGGAATCACCCCCAGAGAGGGTTATTTTTGAGCCTAACAGCTCTTGATTCCCAACAGGAGTCTGTATCAAGAACCGTAGAATGAAAAGGAACACATTCGAGACCAGGAGTCCTCAAACTAAGGCCTGGGGGCTGGATATGGCCCTCCAAGGTCATTTACCTGGCCCTCGCTCAGGGTCAACCTAAGTCTGAAAAGACTTGAAAGTACACAACAACAACAATCCTACCTCATCAGCCAAAAGCAGGCCCACACTTCCCATTGAAATACTAATACGTTTATATTTGTTAAAATTCTTCTTCTTTTTAATTATTGTATTGTTTTAAAGTGATTTTTGCGCTACAAATAAGATATGTGCAGTGTGCATAGGAATTCATTCAATTTTTTTTTCAAATTATAATCCGGCCCTCCAACAGTTTGAGGGACTGTGACCAGGCCCTCTGTTTAAAAAGTTTGAGGATCCCTGTTCTACAGAGATACTAACAGGATCACCTCAGCAAGCAAGAGTCCAAAAGTGGCAGGCTAAAACCCAGAACCTCAATCAGTGGCTGAGACTGGATGAGAACTCCCCTCACATGCCAAAGGCTGACCGACTTGGAAGGTGCTGAACAAACTGCGTTCTGGCCCTCTGGTTAAAAAGTTTGTGGACCCCTGTTCTAGACCAACTGTTCATCTGTTACTCTAATCAAAGGGCTCACTGAAAAGGCATCCTTGGGAACAATTGCCACCTGAATACTTGACAGAGACATCAACGTTAGGAGGTATATATACATATCCACATATATGGTAGAAGTGCATGCGTGCATAGCTAAAGAGGCCACCAGAATAAGGCTCTAAGTTAAGGCAATGGATGGTGGCCCTCAATATGGATGGGGTCTTCTGAAAAAGGGGAGACCCATTGGGGGAGGGGACAGAAGAAAAATCAGTTCCAATCACGGACGCCTTAGGTTTGCATTTCTAACTAATGACTAGAATGTACAAGGTAAACCAAGTTAGCAATGCAAACTGGGAACTCATCGCGCCACACCGGATTAGCTTCAGCCACATAGATCCGTCCAGTGAGGGGCCAGGGCAGCATGTCAAAGGGATCAAACTCGCTTTTCAAGTTGACTCTCTGCAATCCATCAACATACATTGACCCAAATGAAGAAGGTGGGCTTGTTGACTATCCACAAACAGAACAGGATGATTTTCCAGAGAAACACAACTTAAGCCATTCCTGCAGAACGTACACCCAACAGAAGTCAACACAAAATAAATAACTGAAAGAGATGTCTCCCCTTCACAGGGTGCTGTTGAATTTGATTATCAAATTTATATATTGAGCAAGAAATATTTAGACAACCATAAAAAAACTGATTTGGGATCCAATGAGGGGCAGAAATTAGAGTGAATTTAGCAGGAAGTCTCTATTTGTCTGTGTGACACAGTAGTGCAAATATATAATTTAAGGACTAGATTTCCCATGCTCTGCGGCTGTCGCTCAACCTCGATGCATTTCAGTGGGGTGGGGGGAGATCAAGCACCTGCCCACCTGGAAATGCAAAAGCTAAGCATCACCAGAGCCTGGTGGGTTGCATCTTTGGAGGCTCCGTCATATCAAGACCACGTAAACATGTTAAGAGAATGATTCTTTTGCTCTTTCTCCTTTGTGTAGCCCCAAGATACCCTGAATGCTCGGTCATGCTCATTCCACAAAGTACCCAATAATCACTTCGCAGAGCATGGCAAAGACAGCAGACATCTATTTACAGCAGACATCTATTCACTTTGGCCCTACAGGTGTTTTGGACTTCAACTCCCACAATTAGGAATTGTGGGAGTTGAAGTCCAAAACATCTGGAAGGAGGGGCGAAGTTTGCTCATGCCTGATTTACAGAAATACATGAGAGAAAGACATTCCGGTATTAAGAAATATATAGATCGAGGGTTATATGTCACGGCTCCCTTAACCCTCCCTTTCATTTGCTGGGATATCTCTACCACGCCTTCAGCTTCGTGTGGATGTGGACACAGGCAAGGCCATGAGCTCTCCAAGCCCTCTTCCACAAGACTCAGCCAAGGAGAAAGGGAACAAGAGGCTTTCCTGGAAGGGAGTGGAAGAGCAAGGGCTCACTGGCTGCCGTCGCTGAAGTAGGTGTTGGCCTCCAAGAGCAGCCCCTTGACGTAAACACGCACAGTGTAGAAGAGCGTGAGAAAGTCCTGAGTGCTGAAAACCGTGTCAGCCAGGGCAAAAGGGAGCGTCGAGGGGATGAAACCGCGGCCGTACTCCACCATCCATGTGCCGGCACTCCACTGCACCGAGGTGGCCTCTCCAGAGTGGTGGACAATGGTGTCACCTGCACGGACAGACAGAGGACACACTCAGCAGTTTACTCAGAGTTTCACATTGCTCCTCTGCCTCTGTGTGATGTGTCAATTGAATGAAATTGTATGATTGGGGTCTGGCTAAGGCTTGCCAAGGCTGAAGATACCACCCTAAGAAAACTGAGGTCTAAAATGACATTATGGAGAAACAAAGGCGGTGAAGAAAAGTTCTGATGGAGGAAAAATGCTAAACTGCTGACATAACTGACCTGGGAACTCTTGGGTAATCAGGACATGTTTATATGGTCAGAGACAATACTTATTTAAGTTACCATAAATGTTTGAGTACAAGCCAACCCAAATATAAGCCAAGGCACCTAATTTTACCACAAAAACCCTGGGAAAACGTATTGATTCAAGTATAAGCCGAGGGTGGGAAATGCAGCAGCTATTGGTAAGTTTCAAAATAAAAATACATACCAATAAAGTGCCTAATGCAACCTATTACACTGAAAACGGGTTAAAGAACAATTTTTAAGGTTCAAAAAGTATTCATGACATCTGGAGTTTGCTCCAAACAATGAAAAGGAAACTCACCCGGGTAGTAGATCTCACTTTTGGTTGTTCCCTCTTTCCACTGCCGAAAGGTCCCTGAGATGACTGTGTCATAAATATCAGCCCAATAACGTCCTATAAAGGATGGCATAGAATAATAATAAAAATGGTCAACAGTTAAGGCCTGGGACTCAGTGTGAATCAATACTGAAAGTTGCCTGCTCTTAAGGATTATAATTTTCCCATTACGCTTCTGAGGAAAAGGCGGTGACACAAACTGCAGATACTTGTAATAAACTTGTTTTTTTGGCAACTATCAAACACTTTTTTATGACTACATAAAAAAAAACCTATAGAGAGAACCTTGAATCCCAAAAATAAGATTTCACACAACCTTATTCCAGGCCCTCTTCCAGGTGTTTTGGACTGTAACTCCCACTACCAGATGTTACGAATTGTGGGAATTGGAGTCTAAAACACATGGAGAGTTGAAGTTTGTCCATGTCTTTTATACAGGCTTCCTTCCTTCCTCCTCTTTCACAGTCCATGATAGGGGAGATTGATATTTCCATAGTTTGGTAATGTGCTACAGGTGGAGACAGTACCGTTTAAGGCAGGTATCGTGCTCCCAATTACCTAAAACAGGGTGCATGATTCACAAAGCTACTGACAAGGAAAGCCAAAGTTTAATGATAGGATATGGACACTGAACAAGACACAAGGGATGTCTTGTTCAACTCCAAGGCACTATGCCACCCTGCCAAATTAACACAGTGACAAAACGCTAGCTGAGCCTGAACCCAAGTTTGGCAAATGGGGAGTTATGAAAAGAAAGCATGCCTTCCCTCTTTGCCGATGGAATAGTTCGACCCATCTTACCCGAATGTCCCCCAGTGTCAACCGCTGTGCCAAAGAGCAGGACGTACTCCGAGAAGGAAGCATGGAGCAGGCACATGGAGCCCATCCAGCCCCCGGCATTGACAAAGACCCACTGCAAGTCCTCATCTGGCAGGATATGTCCAGGGTGCTTCTTCCGCAGTTCCACAATGATCTTGGAAAACGCCTGCTCGTGGTCCAAACCTGCAGGCAATAAAATGCTCAAAGTGAGGCTTTGTCCCATAACCCCCCAATTTTAAGAAAAGCTAGGATGATTGTAGAAACTTAGTCACCAAGGTCCTCTCAATGGGCTGCCATAGTCCAATCAGACCATCTGGTCTTTACAGTCAACCTACCCTATATTTACAGAAAGTGAAAAACCATGAATTTAAAAAAATGTGTTTTCTTAACCTGAGAGAATACTTCTCTAGGAATGCCTAGGCCACCCCTACGTCCCACCTCGTAATCTAAGATCTGAGAACTGGGAAGCCCTGACCCTTGACCGCTCCAGCTGGAGGTCAGCTGTGACCAGCAGTGCTGCAGAATTTGAGGAGGCACAGAGGGCGAAAGGGAGAAGCGTGCGAAGAGGAAGGCGCATCAAGCCAACCCCGACCAAGACCGTCTTCCACCTGGAAACCAATGCCCTCACTGCGAAAGAAGATGCAGAGCAAGAATAGGACTCCACAGCCACATACAGACCCACAAGAATATTGGAAGACAATCATCCTCGGAAAACGAGGGATTGCCTAAGAAAGTAATCTAAGATCATCCAGGGAGGCCCTGCTCTCGCTCCCATCAACAGTACAGATGCATCTGGTGGGGATGAGAGACAGGGCCTTCTCGGCGGTGGCTCCCTGCCTATGGAACACACTCCCGATTGAGGTAAGATCGGCTCCCTCCCTCCTGGCTTTCTGAAAGAAATTAAAATCATGGTTTTGGGACCAGGTTTCGAGTAATAGATGCAAGCAGCACTTTAGAAGGACATTGACTGGAACGGCGATACGGCTGATGAGACTGTTTTATGGTTTTAGTGATCGCTTATGTATTGCTTTTATTTCTGTGTATTTCTGTGTACGAACCCACACAATCTCTTTGATCAACTGGAGAGGCCCAGCTCACGCTCCCACCTCCTTCGCAGGCGCGATTAGTAGGGACGAGGGAGAGGGCCTTCTTGGTGGTGGCCCCCCGACTCTGGAACTCACTTCCCAAGGACATCAGCCATGCCCCAACTCTGGCAGTCTTTAGGAGCCTGAAAACGTGGTTGTTCCAGTGTGCGTTCCCAGAATAAGGAAAATTCTCAGCAATATGCCCTCAGAATGCACTTTACCACTGATTTAGGATTGACTGCGCTCCCCTCACGTCTTTAAAACCCTCCTACCAGATATATCCTACATTGTTCATGCCCACCGTTTATTTTTTAATTTCTTAAACTATTACATTTGGGCCGGCCATAGGTTTTTAAATCCTTGTGTGTTACTGTATATTGTTTATATGTGATTTATATTAATTGCATTGTATTTATTGCTTTTCTTTATTGATGTACTGTTGGGCTTGGCCTCATGTAAGCCGCTCTGAGTCCCTGGCGGGGTATAAATAAAGTTTTTTTTTATTATTTTAATGACTTATGTTCAATTGTGGTTTTATTATTGTAGTTGTTATGTAGTGGCATCGTAATGGTGCCCACTGTAAGCCGTTCTGAGTCCCCTTTCGGGGGTTGAGAAGTGAAGGGATAGAAATACGGTAAATAAAAATAAATAAATAGGCCAGGCATGGGCAAACTTCAACCCTTCAGGTGTTTTGGACTTCAACTCCCGGAATTCCTAACATTGGGAATTGTGGAGTTGAAGTCCAAAACACATGGAGGGAGGGCCAAAGTTTGCCCATGCCAGCTCTAAGTCTTACAGGACAATTCTACGGTCAACTTTCACTGGAATGAAACACAGAATCACATTAGAGGACATAGAAATTCTTAGAAAGGTATTTTTTCTCAAAATCTTTTGCCTAAGTGGGGAAAACTGCCTGTAGAGTCACACTAGAGACCTAGAGAGAACATCCGTGTTATGACTTGCCATTCTGGGAGACTTTTCTTCTTCCCTGTTTAATAATTTACTAAGAGTGATAAATCAGAACAGGCTGAGAAATAATTAGTAAACAGAAGAGGGAAGATGCCAAGACCTAATAAACCATTAACAAGATACTGGCGAGGAAAGACAAGTACAGAAAATGAAGAGGACCTCACAGATGAGAGGGAAGACAGATAATAAATAAATATAAACATATAATAAGGCACAAAGGAATTCAAAAAAGGCAAAACTGCAAATGTGATGACCATATTTGCAAAAATGATTAGTTGGAGTTTCCTCACAAGGACTTTTTAGTCCAATCTTCTCCTTCATAACATGAAATAATTGTCAGAATACAATAAGATCAGTTCTCTCAATACTGACAGAAGCAAATCTCTGTAAATATGTATTAAGAGACCTATACCCTGAAGGCTGTCCTTATTGGCAGACCACCAGCAGTGCAATGTCTCTTAACACAGAAGGCTTGTTATCTGTGTTAAAGCCATATCAGCCATCTACCCATATTTACTTGAGTCTAATGCACTATCAGATCGAATGTGCACCTCCATTTTTAAAACCCTGAAACAAAAACATTTTTTTGCTGGCAAGTGTAATGTGCAGTAGCAAAAGGCACACTCCTTTTGGTACCTGCTTAGAATTCCTTCTTTAAAAACAACCGGCAAACTGTTTTAATGCATATTTTATGCATATTTATAACTGTTTTTTAATGTATGCTAATTGTATTGTATTGAGACATGCCGCATTATCACAGGGTGTCTGTGCCCTACACCACTGGAGAAATTACACTGTTTCGCCGGTATCGCACCACCTGACATCCGCCGGGAAGTAGCAGCCAATAGTGAAAGGACCAAGGCAGTGATATCTCCAGCTCATCCCCTGTTTGGGTATCAGCCAGCACGTCAACAACTTAAATCAAGAAATAGTTTTCTAAGATCTACACTCACTGGAACACCTCAGCAAGCAAGAGTCCAAAAGTGGCAGGCTCAAACCCAGAACCTCAATCAATGGCTGATACCAAATGAGAGACTCCCCCCTGGGCACAGAGAAGACTGGGTGACTTGGAAGGCGCTGAACAGACTGCGCTCTGGCACCACGAGATGCAGAGCCAATCTTAAGAAATGGGGCCACAAAGTGGAATACATGACATGCGAGTGTGGACAGGAGCAAACCACTGACCACCTGCTGCAATGCACCCTGAGCCCTGCCACATGCACAAGGGGGGACCTTCTTGCAGCAACACTAGAGGCACTCCCAGTGGCCAGATACTGGTCAAAGGACATTTAATCATCTACCAAACTCACATTTTTTTATTTTGTCTGTTTGTTTGCTTTGTTCAGTTAGAAATGTAATATAATTGCCTGGTTGCTGATGACTCAAAAAATAAAATAAATTGTATTGAAGGAGCTCCCGGTGGCGCAGTGAGTTAAAGCACTGAGCTGCTAAACTTGTTGACTGAAAGGTCGCAGGTTCGAATCCGGGGAGCGGCGTAAGCTTCCACTGTCAGCCCCAGCTTCTGCCAAGCTAGCAATTCGAAAACATGCAAATGTGAGTAGGTCAATAGATACCGCTCCAGCGGGAAGGTAACGGCGCTCCATGCAGTCATGCTGGCTACATGACCTTGGAGGTGCCTACGGACAACGCTGGCTCTTCGACTTAGAAATGGAGATGAGCACCACACCCCAGAGTCGGAAACGACTGGACTTAATCATAGAATCAAAGAATTGGAAGAGACCTCATGGGCCATCCAGTCCAACCTCATTCTGCCAAGAAGCAGGAATATTGCATTCAAATCACCACTGACAGATGGCCATCCAGCCTCTGTTTCAAAGCTTCCAAAGAAGGAGCCTCCACCACACTCCGGGGCAGAGAGTTCCACTGCTGAACGGCTCTCACAGTCAGGAAGTTCTTCCTCATGTTCAGATGGAATCTCCTCTCTTGTAGTTTGAAGCCATTCTTTCGTGTCCTAGTCTCCAGGGAAGCAGAAAATAAGCTTGCTCCCTCCTCCCTATGGCTTCCTCTCACATATTTATACATGGCTATCATATCTCCTCTCAGCCTTCTCTTCTTCAGGCTAAACATGCTCAGCTCCTTAAACCACTCCTCATAGGGCTTGTTCTCCAGACCCTTGATCATTTTAGTCGCCCTCCTCTGGACACATCCCAGCTTAGAGTCAACATCTCTTTTGAATTGTGGTGCCCAGAATTGGACACAATATTCCAGGTATGGTCTAACCAAAGTGGAATAGAGCATGGGGAGCAAGACTTCCCTAGATCTAGACGCTATGCTCCTCTTGATGCAGACCAAAATCCCATTGGCTTTTTTTGCCGCTGCATCACATTCCTGGCTCATGTTTAACTTGTTGTCCATGAGGACTCCAAGATCTTTTTCACACGTACTGCTCTCGAGCCTGGCACTGTCCCCCATTCTGTAAATAATAATATATTTATAACTGTTTTTAATGTATGCTAATTGTATTTAACGTTATGTCATTATATTGTGTCGGCATCGAATAATTGCCTGTTGGAAGCTGTCCTGAGTCCCTCTTTGGAGGTTGAGGAGTGCGGGAGGGGTATAAATGGCCTAAATAATAGGCTTGGGCGATCAAGAAAAAAATTGGTTCTAAACTCTTTTTGTTTCTAGGGTGCGCTAGCGTTTCTAAATTCTGAGGACTTCCGAAATTTAAGATTTCGAAATTTCGTAAATTACGAATCAATTCGTTAATGGTGGACGCGATTGCGCAATATGCTAAAAAAACCTCCAAATGGGACAGGGGGAACTTCTGAAGCTTCCCTCTCCCTCTGTTGTTGACTGTTGGTGTGATAAAACAAACAACAACTATATTATATTATAATAATATTATTATATGATGTTATTGTATATTATATTATTATATTACTTTATATTATAATATATTATATTATATATAATATTATAACATATTATATTATAATATATTATATATATTATATTATATTATACAATTATAATATAATAATATAGTAATTAAATATATAATATAATATATATTATTATAATATTATATATTATATTATAGTATTGTATATTAGAGTGAGGCAAGAAGCATGAGGAAAGAGGAGGGAAGCAGCATAGTAGGGCTGGGCGGTTTCGTTCGTTAATTCCGTAATTCGTTATTGATTCGTATTTAAATTAGCTTACGATCCGATATTGAGCCATGCAGGAGCAACTAAAAATCGAAACAAATTTTTCAATTTATTTCGTAATCGTTTTGTAATTGGTTCGAAATTGTTTTGTTATTATTTCCGTATGTCTGGTGCAAGTTTTATAGTTGTTGTTTGTTTTATCAGTGATAAAAAAATAAACGATCACACCAACAATCAACAACAGAGGGAGAGGGAAGCTTCAGAAGTTCCCCCTGTCCCATTTGGAGGGTTTTTTTTAGCGTATTGCGCAATCGCGTCCGCCATTAACGAATCAATTCGAAATTTACGAAATTTCGTAAATTTCGAACCTTTTTAAAAGAAAAATTCGGAATTCTTTTAAAAAACAAAACGCTATGGACCCCCTAAAAACGAAACGAGTTTAGAAACAAATTTTTCCGTTGTTACCCAGGCCTATAATATAGTAATAAAATATATAATATAATAATATAATATATATATTATATTATTACAATATTATATATTATATTATAGTATTGTATGTAGAGTGAGGCAAGAAGAAGCATGAGGAACGAGGAGGGAAGCAGCAGAGCAAAGGGACCGGAAGTGGGGTAAATGCGAGATTGTAAAACTTGCACCAGACATACGAAAATAATTACGAAATAATTACGAAAATTGTTTCGATTCTTAATTACTCCTCACACTATTCCTGCATGGCTCGATATTGGATCGTAAGCTAATCCAAATAACGAATTACGAAATTAACGAACTGGATCGCCCAATCCTACTAAATAAATAAAATAAATAAACCTTGTTAATAGTATTATAAAAACACCAGGATCAAGAGAGTAAATAAGGAGCACCACTCAAAAAAAGGGGAACCCCTGACAGTCCAATTGCCAGTGAAGGCCTCCCAAGTTGAGGGTGCCTCCAGGCAACAGCAGCCAGGCCACCTCCAGGCAGATACCTTCACTGATTGACTTTGCAACTTCATGGCGACTCAATGCTGGTCAGGATTCCTTTGCACAGACAACAAAGGCAACTACAATCCCTGGACGGAGCCTGCGCCTACACTGAGGAAGGAATGCGGGTGGGTCCGGCTGCCAGGGCCAGGGCGAGGCCTACCCACCGGCGTGGTGCTTCCCGAGCCGGGCGATCTCCTCCGGGTCGAACTCGAAGCGCCGGGCAGAGCTGGAGGCGGCGGCCCAGCTGCGCAGCACCTGGACGAGGAGGGCGGCGGCGGCCACGGCGAGGGCCACCCGGACGGAGCGCGACCCCGGCAGCCCCCTCATCCTGGCCGCTGAGGGCGCCACGCAAGCAGCGCCTCGGAAGGCCCACCAGGCCGCCGCCAAGGACAGGCACAGCCAATCACCGCTCTTGGCGCGAGACAGAAAGCAGCCAATGGCGGCGCTCCTCTCTTTACAGCGGCCGGCCAATCGCAGCCCTCGCTTAATGATTGGGCGAGAAAAGTGACGTGTGTGAATCGGAGCGCTTGATTGGCGGAGGTCTCCCCCCCATGACACGTCATGGACCAGCTTCGACCAATCGTGGATGGGATTGGTCACGTGAGCGCCCCGCCAGGAGAAGCAAGATGGCGTCTGAGGGGAAGTTCCAGCCAAGCGGTAGGTAGGGTCTCCCTGTCTGTTAAAACAAACATGTTGAAATATTGATTTTATTTATTTAAAAGTTTTGTATACCGGCTTTCTCACCTCTCTTGAGGGACTCAGACCGGTTTCCAACCATAATATCACATACAATCAATAAAACATCATAATTCATATTACAGTAAAACATTAAAACAGCAATTACAATCAATAACTACAATGGTCAGTCGTCACACTAAAATCCTTGCTCATCATCCTCCATCCCTATCTCAGGGTGTTGGGTCACTCATCGAATGCCTGTCTCCATAACCACGTCTTCACCTGTTTCCTGAATGTCAGGATAGACGGGGCGGTTCTGATCTCCAGTGGGAGAAAGTTCCAGAGTCGAGGGGCCACCACTGAGAAGGCCCTGTCCCTCGTCCCCACCAGACGCGCTTGCGAGGCCGGTGGGACCGAGAGCAGGGCCTCTCCAGACGATCTTAATAATTTTGATGGTTCATAGGGGAGAATACGTTCGGAGAGGTAAACAGGGCCAGAGTCGTTTAGGGCTTTATAGTAGGGCTGTCCAAACACGGAAAAATTTGTTTCTAAACTCGATTCGTTTTTAGGGGTTTTTTGCGTTTCGTTATTTAAAAGAATTCTGAAATTTTCCTTGAAAAAAGTTCGATATTTATGAAATTTCGGAAATCATAAAACAATTACGAATCAATTGCGAATCGATTCGTTAATGGCGGCCGCGATCGCGCAATACGCTAAAAAAACTTCTGAAGCTCCCCTCTCCCTCTGTTGTTGACTGTTGGTGTGATAATTATATTTTTTTTTCACTGAGAAAACAAACAGCAACCCTAAAACTTGCACCAGACATGCGGAAATAATATCAAAACATTTACGAATCAATAACGAATCAATTACGAAACGAATTGGAAAAAATTGTTTCGTTTTTTTTTTCTTTTTTTTTTATTGTAGCTTTAACATATTCAGTATTTAAACATTCTTCTACTTATCACTTCCCATTAACAATTGTACAGAACATGTATATCTTGATAGCTATAATATTTCATTCTCCTGCTTCAATACATCCAATCACCCAGTGCTAACCCTTCACCCCCGATCAGCCAATTACAATATTTATTCCCAAAAATCAGTTGTTTCTATTACAGGTTTGGTCCCCTTACCTTCTATATATACATATTCTATCAATTTCCCCCAAATCTTCCCAAAATCATCTTTTTTTCGTTTTTTAGTTGCTCCTGAATGGTTGAATATCGCTTCGTTATAAAAAAACAAAAAAACAAAAAACGAATTTTTAACGAATTACGAAATTACGAAACGAAACCGCCCAGCCCTTCTTTATAGGTTAACACCAGCACTTTGAATTGTGCTCGGAAGCTAATTGGCAGCCAGTGGAGCTGGTGTAACAGCGGAGTGGTGTGCTCCCTGTACCCATCACCCGTTAGTAGTCTGGCTGCCGAGCATTGGACTAGCTGCAGCTTCCGGGCAGTCTTCAGAGGCAACCCCACGTAGAGAGCGTTGCAGTAGTCTAAACGGGATGTAACCAATATCTGAGACAGGCATCAAAACACAACAATTTAAAAGCAATAACTAAAACTGACTGGTCCGGCCAGCTGAATGAGGATTGCAACCCTTGTCCCTGAAGTGACAGCTCTTTGCTCAAACCTGGTTCCAAACATCCTCTCAGGTGCCTGAAAGAAAAGTAGATACGAGACAAAGAGGGAAAGGAGAGAAGTAAGAAATAAAGAACGGAAAAAGAGAGAAGATACTCAGATTTCAGAAAGCTGGGATGGTTTGAGGAGCCCTGCACTATTGAATAATGCAGATTGGCACCACTTTTAAATCACCCTATTTATATTTGTCGTGTCAGGGCAGCCAGTCAATTATATTACATTTCTAGCAGAACAAAGCAAACAAACACACAAAATTTGTGAGTTTGGTCGTTGATTAAATGTCCTTTGAGCAGTATCTGGCCACTTGGAGTGCTTCTGGTGTTGCCGCAAGAAGGTCCTCCCTTGTGCATGTGGCAGGGCTCAGGATGCATTGCAGCAGGTGATCAGTGGTTGGCTCTTCTCCATACTCGCATCTCGTGGATTCTACTTTGTGGCCCCATTTCTTAAGATTGGCTCTGCATCTCGTGGTGCCAGAGCGCAGTCTGTTCAGCGCCTTCCAAGTCGTCCAGTTTTCTGTGTGCCCAGGGGGGAGTCTCTCATTTGGTATCAGCCATGGATTGAGGTTCTGGGTTTGAGCCTGCCACTTTTGGACTCTCGCTTGCTGGGGTGTTCCAGCAAGTGTCTCTGTAGATCTTAGAAAACTATTTCTAAATTTAAGTCGTTGACGTGCTGGCTGATACCCAAACAAGGGATGGGCTGGAGATGTCACTGCCTTGGTCCTCAGAGCTTGGGATGCTTGTCTGTTCTTAAGGTGGAAGGCACATGTCTGTCTTTTAGATGGATTAGGGATCAGCTGGTTTCCCCTGTAATAGGCAGTTAGAGCACCTAGAGCTTCAGAAAGCTTCTGTTCAACCATCTCAAAGCTCCCTGCTTGAGCAGTAATGGCACGATCATCAGCATAGATGAAACTCTCTGTCCCTTCTGGCAGTGGCTGGTTATTTGTGTAGATGTTGAACATGGATGGAGCAAGCACGCTTCCCTGAGGCAGGCCGTTCTTCTGTTTCCGCCATCTGCTTCACCTTAACCCTAACCCATTTAAAATACTATTACTAATAGTAATAATTCTAGTTGGACTTGTAGCTTTTTCATTATGTCCTCTATCACTTCCGGCATCACCTTTCTGGCCATCATCTGAGATATCATGGATGTATGATACCTAGTTATTACTCTCACCTTTTGCTTAAGGGATACATGTACGAGGGGTATTTTTTAAGTAAGGTCCGTTTGAACATAAGTACACAACGAAAGTTTATTTATTTTCAGAAAGTACATACTTCACTCTATTTTTCGACATAGTTGCCAAGTTTGTTCAAACACTCATCATACCTCTGAACCAATTTAAAAATACCCTCTTCATAAAAACTTGCCGCCTGCTCCGATAACCAAGAGTTCACTGTCTGTTCTCACGAATCCTCGTTTCAACTGAAGCTACCAAATCGTCTGTAATCAAAGAAGGGCGACCAGAGCGGTCCTCATCATGGATGTTGTCACGGCCATCTTTGAATTGTCGTACCCACTTACGCACTTTGCTTTCACTCATAACAGTATCACCGTACACTTCACAAATCTGTCGATGAATTTCTGCAGCAGTCTTAAACATTTTTAAAGCACAGAACAGAACGGTACAGGTTAGCTGCAGAGCGGAAATTGAGCACAGTTGTTCCTGAGGCATGCCGGAACATGATGCATGCGCTCGTTGCAGTATGCACGCAAACTACTAGTGTCTACAACAAAACGGACCTTACTTAAAAAATACCCCTCGTAGGTATGGTGATTTGATACTGGTGTTCACTACAATGCATAGCATGTCTGAGCTTTGCCTCTAAGTTCATGCCAATGTTCCTCCATTTATCTGTATTTTTTCCTACTGAATTTTTGCCAAAATTAAGATTGTTTCTGAGAATAAGAAATGCATGGTTATTGATTGCTTTGATGGCCAGAATCACTGGAGTGTTTTGCCAGACTGTCAGGAGAAAATGCTGCTAGAATACACCCATACAGCCTGGAAACTATACAACACTCCAGCACCTGGTTACTTTGCTGACTGTGTCTCTTAAGGCTGCACCTTTAAAGAGATTGGGGTGACACTCCTCTTCTCCTTCTTTCCCTCTTTTCATGGCCTGGCTTTGGCGCAGAGCACCAGCACCTGCGCTACAACCCGCTGCGCGACGACTGGGTGCTGGTCTCTGCTCATCGCATGAAGCGGCCCTGGCAAGGGCAAGTGGAGGAGCCAGCCCAGGATGACGTCCCCCGCCACGACCCAGGCAACCCCCTCTGCCCAGGGGCACAAAGGGCCAGTGGCCAGGTAATCGACTGTCATGAATACTTTTTGAATCTTAAAAATGCCCTTTAATCCATTTTTAGTGGGACAGAGTACATCAGGCACTTTCAGATTTATTTATCGTGTCAGAAGTGAATTGGGAATACATACAAGAAACCACAAAGTTAAAAGCTTGTCATTGTACTAATTTTCCTTTGACCAGAAGTTGGCCATTTCAAGTGCCTCTGGTGTGGCTGTAAGATGGTCCTCCATTGTGCATGTGGCAAGGGTCAGATTGCATTGTAATAGGTGGTCTGTGGTTTGTTCTTCTCCATACTTGCACATCGTGGTTTCCACTATGTAGACCCATTTCTTAAGGTTGGTTCTGCATCTCGTGGTGCCAGAGTGCTGTCTGTTTAGCACCTTCCAAGTCGCTCAGACTTCTGTGTGCCGTAGGGGAAGTTTCTCATCCAGTTTCAGCCACTGATTGAGGTGAGGTTCTGGATTTTAGCTTGCCACTTTTGGACTCTCGCTTGCTGAGGTGATCTCTGTAGAACCTTAGCAAGCTGTTTCTTGATTTAAGGCATTGGCATGCTTGTTGATATCCGAATAGAGGATGGGCTGGAAATGTCAATGCCTTTGTCCTTTCATTACAGGCTGCTACTTCCTGACTGATCTCAGGTGGTGCAATACTGACCAAATAGTATAATTTTTCCAGTGATGTAGGGCGTAGACAACTTGTAATAATGTGGCATGTCTCACTAAGACCCACATCCACTGTTTTAATGTGGTGAGATGTATATGACTGCCACATAACATTTAATATGAACACCAGTGCCAGCCATTTTTAATTTTAAATTGCTTTTAGGGTATTTGTTTTTATTTATGTTTTAATGAACTATGTCTTATTGAATTATTTTGTTTTATTTTTCATCATAATACTTAATTTTTCATCGTAAGCTCACTGTTCTTACTATTGCATTATTGTGTATTATTTTGATATGTTTATACTTACCTGAAGTATTGAATGCTTGTCTTTTTGTGTATGTAAACTGCCCTTCGTCTCTTCGGGGGGGGGGGGGGGKGGCTAAATCGAGGAAGGTAATTGTCACACGCTCTCCTTTGGTCAGACCTCACCTGGAATAGACCTGTGTCCAGTTTTGGGCAACACAATTCCGGATATGGTTATGGACAAGCTGGAAGGTGTCCAGAGAAGAGTGACTGAAATGATCAAAGGTTTGGAAAGCATGTCCTTTGAGGATTGGCTTTGGAAGTGGGGAATGCATAGCTTGGTACAAAGAAGGCTGAGAGAAGGGAACATGAGCGCCATGTTTACATATTGTAAAGGATGTCCCACTGAGCAGCTGGAAAGCTTATTTTGGGCTGCTCTAGGGCACAATGGAGCAATTGATTCAAATTGCAGCAAAAGAGATTTTACCTGAGCATTAGGAAGAACCGTTATGGGTAAGAGCTGTTGGACTGAGGAATACGCTGTGGTGGAGTCTCCTTCTCTGGAGGTTTTTAAGCAGAGGCTGTATGGTCATCTGTAGGGAGGGTTTGGATGGAGCCTTTGTGCCTGGCAGAAGGGGATTGGACTGGATGACCTTTAGGATCTCTTTGAACTCTAGGAATCCACAATTTTCTGGTGCCCTGACTCCAAACCTATTGTGGGATTTTTCTTGGCAAGATTCATTCAAAACCACAGACGTACAGAGAAAATGCAGTTAAAGTGGTTTTGAACTGCAATAATTCTGCATGTAGATGCACCCTGAGATTTGAAATTTGAATGATATTTTTCTCTTGTCTTCTCTCATGCAGGTGAATCCCAACTATGAGGGTACGTTTGTCTTTGACAATGACTTCCCTGCATTGCAGCCAGATGCCCCAGAGCCAGGTAAGAATTCCTTCCTTCCTTTTGACTCTGTGCTTAATGAGCTACTTAAGAAGTAAGGGTTGGCAACCTCATCCATATAGAATTAATGCAGTTTGACCCCTCTTTAATGGCCATGGTTCAGTGCTAAGAGTGTGGTGGAGGCTCCTTCTTTGGAAACTTTTAAGCAGAGGCTGGATGGCCATCTGTCAGGGATGATTTGAATGCAATATTCCTGCTTCTTGGCAGGGGGTTGGACGGAATGGTCCATGAGGTCTCTTCCAACTCTTTGATTCTATGATTCTAAGGGAATTTGGGACCTGATGTTTTATGAGGTCTTTAGACTTCTCTGCCAAGGAGTGCTGGTGCTTCAGCAAACTGCAACTCCCATTCTTCCACATCTGCTCACCCCATCAGCTCCATAGATATCTTGAGTAATGATTAATCAATTTGCCCCAAAGAAATTGGAAATTATTGTTTCCATTTGATGTTTGATGTTTTGTCTTATGTCTGTTATAACAGGCTGTACATTTTATTTGATTTTATAATTCGTATTTATATATTGGGTTGTATACATTTTGTTAGTATGGATGTATTGTTGTTGTATTTGGACATTGAATGTTTGCCTTTTATGTTTGGAATCTGCCCTGAGTTCCTTTGGGGAGATAGAACAGAATATAAATAAATTATTATTATTATTATTATTATTATTATTATTATTATTATTATTATTATTATTATTAACACCACAAGATAAGTCCACAGCAGACATTCTGCTGGCTGTTGTATTGGATTACACGTCAGACACTTCCCAAGTGTCCAGGACTGTGTGATGTATCAGCGAATAATGCGTGCAGATCCCAGTAAGGTGGCCTTCTGCAACTGGCAGATGGTAATTTTGTCAGCACCGATTGTGTTTAAGTGCAGGCCCAGGTCTTTAGGCATTGCACCCAGTGTGCCAGTCACCACTGGAACCACCTTTACTGATTTGTGCCAGAGTCTTTGCAGTTCATATCGTGTCAGCTTTTCCAGTTGTTTCTCTTCAATCCTGTTGTCATCTGGGATTGCAACATTGTCAATCCATTCTTTGTTTTTATCACGATTGTGAGGTCAGGAGTTTTGTGCTCCAAAACTCTGTCTGTCTGAATCCGGAAGTCCCAGTGGAGTTTGGCGTGTTTATTCTCTGTAACTTTTTCCGGCTTGTGATCCCACCAGTTCTTTGTCGCAGGCAGATGGTGTTTGTGGCACAAGTTCCAATGAATCATCTGAGCAATGGTGTTATGCCTCTGCATGTAGTCTGTCTGCGATCTTCTTGCAGCAGTTGAGGATGGGATCTATTGATTATTATTATTATTATTATTATTATTATTATTATTATTATGGCAGTTACAGTGGGATCCAACTGCACTACTTTTACTGTGTAGATCAGGGGTCTACAAACTTTTTAAACAGAGGGCCAGGTCACAGTTCCTCAAACTGTTGGAGGGCCGGATTAAAATTTGAGAAACCGTGAATGAATTCCTATGCACACTGCACATATCTTATTTGTAGTGGGAAAAAACCCACTTAAAAACAATACGATAATTAACATGAAGTACAATTTTAACAAATATAAACTTATTACTATTTCAGTGGGAAGTGTGGGCCTGCTTTTGGTTGATGAGATAGAATTGTTGTTGTTGTTGTTGTGTGCTTTCAAGTCATTTCAGACTTAGGTTGACCTTGAGCGGCCCTTAGTTTGAGGACCCCTGGTGTCGATGCTCCTTGGGAAACCAGTGGGCTTTGCTTCTTCTTAGGGAAAAGGGATCGGATGCAAGTTAGAGATGTCAGGTAGCTTCCTGTTAAGTTTCCTGCTACCTGTATATCACTAAGAACCTAAACAGACAAAGGCAGAGAAGCCCTGTTTGGTGGAAAGAGTCAGGAAGACAGTTCCATTAAGAATGGAAGCATTTCCACCCCAAATTGGGGTGTTCCTTGGCTGAAGAATGTTGTTTTGACAGGAGGAAATGCTCAACCTAAAACACTAATATTTGTATGGGAACACTATTGAATGGATGAAGTTGACAGTTGGAGAACCTGGTTTGTCAGTGCTCAGGTGCTGGAGTTGTGACTGGGCTGCTCCTCATGCTGTCTTGTTTGTGGTTACAACTCTCACTGCCTTTGGCTTCTCACTGGGTTCCCTCTCTTTCCCCAGATGCTGATGGCCACCCCTTGCTCCGCGCTGCGTCTGCCCGAGGCGTGTGGTAAATGTAGCCGGGTCAGGACAGCTCCGGGCCTTCCTTTTCTGCTTGTTGCTTTTGCACTCAGCCCTTTCTGGCTCAGACTTCCTTTGCTGGCCTCTACTTTGCAAGGCATGTCAGGCTAGAACTTGGGGCTCAAGCATTTCTAAATGGGGCCTGTTCCCTTATGCGAGACGAAAGGGGCATAATTCCACTTCCTTCTCTTTCTGAAGTGAGCTTGTAACTGCAGCCCCATTTTTAGGGTTTCTCCATTTATAGGGATGACACATTGCATGGGGCAAGGCACACATCTCGCAAAGAGCTTCATGCTGCTTTCTGGCATCCATCCTGTTCTGTCCATAGTGCTTTCCTGAGACATTTAGGGAATGAGCATCTCTGAATGCTATGCTGCAAATTGGTTGGGAAACATATTCTAAGGAGGGCGACTAAAATGATCAAAGATCTGGAGAACAAGCCCTATTAGGAGTGGCTTAAGGACCTCGGCATGTTTAGCCTGAAGAAGAGAAGGCTGAGAGGAGACGTTATGAGGGTTGTGTATAAATATGTGAGAGGAAGTCACAGGGAGGAGGGAACAGGCTTCCTTTTTGCTGTCCTGACATGGAGGCATCTGATTGGGAAGGGATTGAATTGGATGGTGGATCCTTCCCAACAATTGTTTCTCTCCTCTCTGCCCTCCTTCCTTCCTTCTAGCAAAGTCATGTGCTTCCACCCGTGGTCTGACCTGACGCTGCCCCTGATGTCCTTGGCTGAGATCCGCAATGTTGTCGACAAGTGGACGGAGATAGCCGTGGAGTTGGGTGCCTCTTACTCTTGGGTGCAGGTTGGTGTGTGCAAGGCCTTATTATTGAGTTGCGATGGCAAGCAAGCTGTCGTGACCCACAGAACACAGAATGTCTTAAACAGCAGTTGAGGTGCAAAATAGTAGTATTTTAATGCAAAACAAACTTAATAAGGCACTTTAAAAGTCAGTGCAAACAGTTCAAAGGATGTTTTCAAACAGGAACACAAAACGCTAGATAAGCAGGCTTGAATTGCAGCCAAGAAATAACAGGAGATACGATGAACTAGGAGCAGAATACAAAACAAACAGTCTTTAAGGGTTGCAAGGCATGGAGCAAAATCCGGTAGGCAAACGTGTAGTCAGTCAGTTCCAAGGGTCAAGAAGCCAGATGTACACTCACGAGCGAAGGTTCCAAGGTCCGAGGCACGGCAGGGAAAACAGGATACTGGGAATCCAAAACAAGATTAGGCAGAGAACAACACGAAACAACACTTTGTCGTCTGCAAAGGAATAGGTCCCAGAGTGCTCATTTTATTCACTATCAGAAGAATGAGATTCATTGCTTGCATCTGATTCTGCTCCCGCAGCTGAAGCATCTACACCACGCCAAGCCTGCCACCTTTGCTCTAGTGCCTGATCCTGCCAATCAGTACTCTCATTCCCATTATCCCTAAAACCTTCAAAATCATCACTTGATGTTGCTTGATTGCAAATGTCTCTAATGTTCTGAACCAGAGTCCAGTCTACAGCCTCCTCCAACTCATCCTCACTATCACTGGAGTTATCTGCTGTGTCTCTAAGCCTCTTAGACATAGTGTCACTCTCACTGCCAGAATCACTAGCCACTCTCTTCACTCCCCTGTAATCTGCTTCCATAGCCTCCTCTGGCCTGAATCCTGCAAAGTCTTCTTCATCACTGGGAGCCAGAAAGATGTCACGAATACGTTTCAGCTGGCGCTGATTCTCCTCTGTTTCTGCATCACTCCTTCTTCTTCTCCTACTACTAGTAGTAGGTATGGTGTCAGAATGCTGACTCACAACACAAGCTTTCAGTCTGGAGGGTTGACTTCTTCATGCAGGATGTCAGAGAGGATTATAAAGGGAAGAGAGATAAGAAGATGTATGGGAATTGACGTCCAGGTCACTGGAAGGGGTGAATCTTTCGATATGAGTCTATCTAAGGCAGGTATGGGCAAACTTTGGCCCTCCGGGTGTTTTGGACTTTAACTTCCACAATTCCTAACAGTCTACCATGTTGCGGATTATAGGAAAGCTAACCCAGAAAACGTGCAGTCCTGTCCAGACTTCCCAGCCCTTTGTTTATTCACAAAAATATAAGCCAAGTAAATGGGAAAAACAAAAATTTACTCTTAAGTAACAGAGTCAAATAAGCAGCTTCACAAAAATATCCATCTTTGAAAATATCTCAGTCCATTTGCAGAAAATAAAACACACACAAAGTCCTATGCATTAAATCCATGCATCTTCTTCCTCAATGGCGCAAGGAGACAAGTCTTGAAGCAAGTGGTTCAGTAAGTCCCAAAATCCATTAGTAACACTCCTCATGTTATACTCCATTCAGGGAGTGGTTCAAGCTTGATTGCTTCAATTATCCAGGTGTTTTTCCTCAACACACACACACACACAGGGAGGATGTCGGAGAGGATTATAAAGGGAAGAGAGATAAGAAGATGTATGGGAATTGACGTCCAGGTCACTGGAAGGGTTGAATCTTTCTATAAGAGTCAGTCTAAGGCAGGTATGGGCAAACTTTGGACCACCGGGTGTTTTGGACTCCAACTCCCACAATTCCTAACAATCTACCAGCTGTTAGGAATTGTGGGTGTTGTAGTCTAAAACACCTGGAGGACCCAAGTTTGCCCATGCCTAATCTAAGGTCTTCAAGAAAAGCACTTTTGACCAATCCTACCATTCTCGCAACCACATTGTCCCTATTATTGTTTTTAGTATCCAACCTTTTCCTCTATTTAGGACCGGAACCCCCGGTGGCACAGTGGGTTAAACTGCTGAGCTGCTAAACTTGTTGACTGAAAGGTCACAGATTCAAATCCGGGGAGCGAAATGAGCTTCCGCTGTCAGCCCCAGCTTCTGCCAACAGAACAGTTCAAAAACATGCAAATGTGAGTAGATCAATAGGTACCGCTTCAGCGGGAAGGTAACGACGCTCAATACAGTCATGCCAGCCACATGACCTTGGAAGCGTTTATGGACAATGCCGGCTCATCGGCTTAGAAATGGAGATGAGCACCAACCCCCAGAGTCGGACATGACTGGACTTAATGTCGGGGAAAATCTTTACCTTTGCCTAACATATAATTATAAATTAACCTAAACGTAAAAGAACATTTAGACATTAAGCATAAAAAACAATCAATCTATATAAATAAAAATGTAATGTTCGTTTGTGGGATTAACAGAACTCAAAAACCACTGGACGAAATGGCACCAAACTTGGACACAATACACCTAACAACCCAATGTATGTCCTTCACTCAAAAATTGATTTTGTCATTTGGGAGTTGTAGTTGCTGGGATTTATAGTTCACCTACAGTCAAAGAGCATTCTGAGTTGACGATGGAATTGAACCAAACTTGGCACACAGTTCTCCCATGACCAACAGAAAATACTGGAAGGGTTTGGTGGGCAGTGTCCTTTGGTTTTGGAGTTGTAGTTCACCTACATCCAGAGATCACTGTGGACTCAAACAATGATGGATCTGGACCAAATACTCAATATGCCCAAGTGTGAACACTGGTAGAGTAAAATAGAATCTTGACAATCAGGAGTAGTAGTTGCTGGGATTTATAGTTCACCTACAATCACAGAGCATTCTGAATCCCACCAACGATAGAATTGGGCCAAACCTCAAATATAATGTGCTTATATAAAGTAGCAAAAGCAATGGGATTGTGGCACAGTTGGCTGAGTGTCAGCAGCATTAAGATTACTCTGACCAAAAGGTCATGAGTTTGAAGCCAGCCCGGGTTGGAGTGGGTTTCCAACCAATTGTGTGTAGCCTATTGTCGACCTTTGTAACCCGAAAGACAGTTGTATCTGTCAAGTAGGAAAATAAGGTACCACCTTAAAGTGTGGGGAGGCTAAATTAACTGATTTATGAGGCCATAAAGAAAACTCCAGCAAAGCATTCCAGCAGGGAAGCATGCGGGGAATGCGGAAGTGCTTCATCAGCGTCGCAGATGGACGATGAAAGTGACAGCTCCCCGGCGGCCAGAAAAGTTAAATAGCCTCTGTGTATGTCTGTATATGTTTGTATGTCAAAAATTGGCATTGAATGTTTGCCATATATGTGTACACTGTAATCCGCCCTGAGTCCCCTGCGGGGTGAGAGGGGCGGATCCACTGGCTGCCAGTCTGCTCCCGGGCACAATTCAAAGTGCTGGCTTTAGCCTATAAAGCCCTAAACAGTTCTGGCCCAACTTCCCACCAGGACTTTAAGATCGTCTAGGGAGGCCCTGCTCTCGGTCCTGCCTTCATCACGAGTACGTTTGATGGGGATGAGAGACAGGGCCTTCTCAGTGGTGGCCCCCCTCGACTATGGAACGCCCTCCCTGGGGATATTAGATCAGCCTCTTCCCTTTTAACATTCCAGAAAAAAGGTCAAGACTTGGCGTTTTGAGCAGGCGTTTGCAGATACAATATAACAGACATAGAGGAAAAAACGAAATGTCTGGACGACGCTATTTGATAATGTTTTTAACAAGGAGACTCAAACTGATACATATCTTTATTGATATTGATTGTTTTATCTGGTATTATATTTAATCAACTGTTTTAAAGTATTGTTGAAGGCTTTCATGGTCGGAATCACTGGGTTGTAGTTTTTTCAGGCTATATGGCCTGTTCTCGAGGCATTCCCTCCTGACGTTTTGCCTGCATCTATGGCAAGCATCCTCAGAGGTAGTGAGGTCTGTTGGAACTAGGAAAAAGGGTTTATATATCTGTGGAATGACCAGGGTGGGACAAAGAACTCTTGTCTGTTGGAGCTAGGTGTGAGTGTTTCAACTGACAACCTTGATTAGCATTTGATGGCCTGGCAGTGCCTGGGGCAATCTTTTGTTGAGAGGTGATTAGATGTCCTTGATTATTTTTATCATATTTATGTTTTTGATTCTGACTGTACACCGCCCTGAGTCACTTGTGGGCTATGAGCAGGATATAAATATAGTAAGTAAGTAAATAAATAAAAATAAGGTTGACTGTACTTGTAAGAGTACCTTGTTTACAGGAATGAGTTGCGTAGCATCAGTTTGTGCCTCTGGCTGTTCTTCAGCCCTCCTTACCTTCTGTGCGCTCAGCTGTAGATCTTTTCTGTTGATCTGCTTGTGTTGAAAAACTGAATATACTCTTCAGAATGGTTACAGGGAAGTTTACAAAAAAAGTGTTTGATCCTCGCTCCTCCTGTCCCATTGGAATTGTTATTCTGATGGTTTTGGAAGGGCCTGCATTATCGGATTTAACTGGAAATAATTGGCTCCATTTGAATTGCCAAAGGAACGTGAAGTTGTTGGGAGCTTTGGCTCAGCAGGACTACAGAGCCTTTCAGCCGCTACAGCCGCGTTCCTCTGAATTTCATTTTTAACAGCCTTCTAGCTTGCTTTGAAATTCCATTCTGATTTTGCTAAGAAAGGAAGGAGCTGAAAGCATTCTTCCTTGTTTAAAAGTAGACTATTCTCAGAGGAGGAGGAGGAGACTCCCTTCGTAGTGGAAGCTAACTTTAAGCTCCCTTTCCAAAGTGAAAACTCATCTCCAGGCACCGAGAAAGCTGTCTTTTCCTTGTCAAAATATATATGTATGATGTATGTATGTATAAATGTGTGTGTGTGTGTCAGTTGTGATGGACTGGATGAGGATGAACAAATTGAAATTGATGTTGCAACTCAGAGTAGGCTTCACCTCGCTTCCAAACACCACCACATAAGAGCTGTAGTTTTACAGTTTATTGAGGAAAAAAATCCAAGTCAAAATAGAGAATAAGCACTGCAAAGCTCCAGAGATTAAGGTTAAATGCAGAATACAGTTCCAAAGATCTTCAGGTAAAAGCAGGAGACATAATCCTATTAGCAAAGTTCAAACCAGAGTCCCAGGTACAAGCAATTAAACATTTGCCCCAAGAATCACAATGCAAGAAATCCCAAGCATACTGCTTTCCAGGCTAAGGTTATTCCATGAAGCTTTCAGGCTAATAAGCTACGTTGAACTGACACTTTCACAGAGTTTCCAGGAGGCCTAAATACCTTTCTAACATCAAAACATTAGGCTCTCAGCATCATAAAAGCATTGCGACGACCTTTCACCGAGCTAGCCTCCCGTCTGCTTGCCAGACACGAACTCCGCCTGACCCGGAGATCAAGGCGAGCTTCTTGGGTCAAATCCTTATCATTACTTTCTGTATCATCGTGGGAAGGCACCTGGCCGCTATTTCCTTCGTTAAAAATCCTTTCTGGTGAAAACAGCTGTGTTGGCACTGCACTGTCTGTGAGAGCCTCGGAAGAAGGCTCAGAGATTTGGGGCACAGACAAAGAGCCAGGAAGCTGAAACCCAGCAGGAATCTGAATCCTCAAACGTCTCTGAATCACTTGGGGCCATAATTATCTCCCTAATGTGCTTTCACTGTTGTTCCTCCTCCAACTCCTGCGCAGACCTCTTCTCCCTTCTACCAGTAGTAGTAATATTACCATCATGCTGAACTACAACACGTATTGTGTTTAGAGACTGAGAAGACTAAAGAGTTTGTGAAACTTTAGCTCCTGTGTTTCCATGGCAGCTAAAGTGGTATCCATTAATTCCACAGTGCAGGTGGACCCTGAGAGAGGAGGCCTTGAACAGGCTCAAGGGTCACTTTTCCTTTTCCTTCCCTTGCAGATCTTTGAGAACAAGGGGGCCATGATGGGCTGTTCCAACCCCCATCCGCACTGCCAGGTAAGAAGGTGTTCTTCCAGCATCCAGCCTCAGAAAGGTCTGGGTTGGCAATGGCTTCTGGGCAAGGAATGGGTATTGTTTCAGGCCTCCTCCAGAGTGCTTTTGGTGCCAGTCCTGCCTCCCCTCCTCTCCCCTCAATGCTAAAGCATAAACTTTCTTGGACATTAATGGGTTAAGCTGGAGGCTGGAGATGTTCAGCTTGGAGAAGAAAAGGAGAAGAGAGGACATGAGAACCAGGTTGATATATTTAAAGGGATGTCACATTGAGGTGGGAGTGAAGTTTACTAAAGTTTATGTGAAAGTGATCTAGGAGTCTTAGTAGACCACAAGCATAATGATAATAATGTATTTATTATTTATTATTATTTCGGTTACTTCTACCCCGCCCTTCTCACCCTGGAGAGGACTCAGGGCGGCTTACAAAGACACAATTTGATGCCGGCATCAACATAACAATAGAATAAAAACAATATAGCAGCAGTTAAGCAATTAGCAATCAGATTCTGCATTACAACTGTAAAACCAATAAAACCAATAAAATCCAATTTCACACAACGCTCAGCGTTCACCATCTCATAGTCCAATTTCCAATTCCACTTTGACAGTCCTGTCAGTCCTAGTTGTCTGATTGTCCTTATCTAGTTGTCAGATTGCCCGAAGGCCTGGTCCCACAACCACGTTTCTACTTTCCTCCTGAAGGAGAGGAGGGATGTTGATGACCTAATTTCCCCCGGGAGTGAGTTCCACAGGTGGGGGGCCACCACTGAGAAGGCCCTGCTCCTTGTCCCCACCAGCCTCACTTGTGATAGCAGTGGGGTCGAGAGCAGGGCCTCCCCAGATGATCTCAAACTTCGGGGTGGGACGTAGAGAGAGATGCGTTGGGACAGATACGCTGGACCGGGACCGTATAGGGTTTTGTAGGTCAAAACCAGCACCTTGAATTGTGCTCGGAACTGAACCGGCAGCCAGTGGAGCTGACACAACAGGGGGATGGTGTGCTCCCTGTATGACGCTCCGGTGAGTAATCTGGCTACCGCTCGCTGGACCAGTTGAAGTTTCCGAGCAGTCTTCAAGGGCAACCCCACGTAGAGTGCGTTGCAGTAATCTATCCGGGATGTAACAAGAGCGTGGACCACCGTGGCCAGATCCGACTTCCCAAGGTATGAGCGCAACTGGTGCACAAGTTTTAATTGTGCAAAAGCTCTCCCGGCCTCCACTGAGACCTGGGGTTCCAGGCTCAGCGATGAGTCCAGGATCACTCCCAAGCTGTGAACCTGCGTCTTCAGGGGGAGTGTATTATTAATAATATTATTAATATTATTAATATTAATATTAATAATAATTTATTTATTTATACCCTGCTCCATCTCCCCCAGGGGCCCTCCAACAGATTGGACCTCCAACTTTCAGAATTCTGACCATTGAAGAAGCTGGTGAGAACTTCTGGGAGTTGGAGGCCCAAACAGCGGGAGGGCTGCAGTTTGAGGTTGCCCGACACTCCTCCTTGTTCAAGGTAACTGAATTTCCTCCTTGCGATTGCCATGAACCAAACAACCAGGAGGTGGCAGTGTCACCCCATAAATAGCTGCACAGGGCTCCTGTTTGCAGGTAGCTGTAGTTTGATAGGAGAGGCAGAGATGTGGAAATGGACCAGGCCACATGGTCTGGCTCGTAGAGTCAAACAGCTAGAAGCATTCCCAGGAGCCATCCGATCTTACTGCGTTCTGTCATGCATGAATACACAATACAAGCCCTCCTGACAGATGGCTATCCAGCCTCAGCTTAAATGCCTCTAGAGGAGGAGGACGCTGCAACAGGCTGTCGAGCAGCAGCATATTCCATTGCCAATCAACTCTTGCTGCCAGAAAGCTCTTTCTGATATCTAGATGGAATCTCTTTTCCTGCAATTTGAATCCATGGCTTTATTGCATCTCAGTCTCTGGAGCAGCAGAAAACAAGTTAGCCCTCTTCTCAATGGGATAGCCTTGCCAATATTCAAACATGGTTCTCAAGTTCCCTCTCATCCTTCCTTTCCCCAAGTGAACAGTTTTAGCCCCCTAAGCCGCTCCTCATTGGTCTTGGTTTCCAAACTTCTGACTATTTTAGTCACCCTTCTCTGGACACTTTCCATCTTGTCAATATCCTTGAATTGCTTTTCCCAGAACTGGACTACAGGGTTACTCCAGGTGAGGCCTAACCAACGGAGAAGAGTTCTGGGACTATAACTTTCCCATGAGTAGTTGTAGTAGTAGTAGTAGTAGTAGTAGTAATAATAATAATAATAAATGCTTATTTATAATCCTGTCCCATCTCCCAATGGGATTTGGGGAGGCTCACAACATAATCAATAAAATACAATACAATACAAAAGGTAGGATAAACAATAATATAATGTCTCAATATAAGACAAGACATAATATGATAAAATAGGACTGAAGGCAGCATTTATTTATTTATTTATTTATTTCGGTTATTTCTACCCCGCCCTTCTCACCCCGGAGGGGACTCAGGGCGGCTCACAAAGGCACAATTCGATGCCGGCATCAACAAACAATAGAATAAAAACAATATAGCAGCTATTAAACAATTAACAATCAGTTTCTGCATTGCAACAATAAAACCAATAAACCACTAAAACCGATTTCACCTAATTAACCTAAGTTTCACCTAAGTTTTTTTTTTTTTGCTTTTTTATTGTGTTTAGGGGGCTTTTGGGGAGGGAGTTAAGTGCTCCAGTACAACATCTGGACACCCACCCCAGAAAGCGTGCGCGGATTCTCCTGACATAAAGCCCTGTCTGGAAAGGCTTTTACCACCTTCACTAACCAGCACCAAATTTCAGCTTCATTAAAGAAATACACTTTTGTGCATGAATACCTAGAACAACCTCATATGTAGCTCCATTGTAGAAAATTTCCTCTTTCACAACCACATCGGGAAGTAGCACAGTTGGTTAATCACCAGCAGCAATAGATCAGGGCTGACCGGAAGGCGTCAAGTTTGAAGGTTGAGTTTGTTTATTTATTTACAGTATTTATATTCCGCCCTTCTCACCCTGCAGGGGACTCAGGGTGGATTATAATGTACACATATATGGCAAACATTCAGTGCCAAAGACACACAACAGATATAGACAGACACTCAGAGGCTATTTAACTTTTCTGGCCGCCAGGGGAGCTGTCGCTTTCATCGCCCATCTGCGACACTGATGAAGTACTTCTGCATTGGGTTGTTGTAGGTTTTTCTGGGCTATATGGCCATGTTCTAGAGGCATTTTCTCCTGACGTTTTGCGTGCATCTATGGCAAGTATTCTCAGAGGTAGTGACCTCACTACCTCTGTGGATGCTTGCCATAGATGCAGGCGAAACATCAGGAGAGAATGCCTTTAGAACAGGGGTAGGGAACCTTTGGCCCTCCAGCTGTGGTGGACTTCAACTCCCACAATTCCTTGAGGCTCGGCATTCGCCCCAAAGGCTTACCTTGGCCCAATGCCGAGCCTCAAGGAATTGTGGGAGTTGAAGTCCACCACAGCTGGAGGGCCAAAGGTTCCCTACCCCTGCTCTAGAACATGGCCATATAGCCCGGAAAAACCTACAACAACCCAGTGATTCTGGCCATGAAAGCCTTCGACAATACTTCTGCATTCCCCGCATGCTTTTGCTGGAGTGCTTTGCTGGAGTCTTTTTTGTGGACTCGTAAATTAGTTAAATTAGCCTCCCCACACATAGGTGGTACCTAATTTTCCTACTTGACAGATGCAACTGTCTTTCGGGTTGCAAAGGTCGACAACAGGCTACACAATTGGTTGGAAGCTCACTCCGACCTGGGTTGGCTTCGAACTCATGACCTTTTGGTCAGAAGTGATCTTAATGCAGCTGACACTCAAACAGCTGCGCCACAGTCCCGGTGAGTTGGACTGAGCACCTGACTGTTAAGCCTAGCTTACTGTCCACCTAAGCAGTTACGAAGGTGGAAGCATTACTTTTCATTCACTCGTAGAACCAATTAGGAAATGATATTTATGACCCAGGAACGAAAATTTGTGTTGCATACGGCTATCTGTCGTTGATTCCTTCTCTCCCTAGATTTGGGCCAGCAACTTTCTTCCCAACGAAGCCTCCTTGGAAGACCGGACGCAGAAGCAGTACCTGGCTGAGCGTGGCGTCCCCATGTTGCTGGATTATGCCCAGCTGGAGGCTGAGAGGAAGGTAAATACTGCCGGTGTGCATGAGGGGCGGGGTGTGGACCCGAGGGCCTCTCACTCTCTCTTTTGTGGGGTCTCTTGCAGGAGAGGATCGTGGTGGAAAATGCCGATTGGCTGGTGGTGGTTCCTTACTGGGCCACTTGGCCTTTCCAGACCCTCTTGCTCCCTCGGAGGCACGTTTGTCGGCTTCAGGACCTTCAGGAGAGCGAAAGGGACAGTAAGTACGTGTGGTTCTATAGAGATGGCCAGCTGGGCCTTGAGGAAATAAGGAAGGTGCATCTACACCAGGTATGGGCAAACTTTGGCCCTCCAGGTGTTTTGGACTCCAACTCCCACAATTCCTAACAGCCTACCGGAGTTGAAGTCCAAAACACCTGGAGGGCCAAAGTTTGCCATTACCTGATCTACACCATAGAATTAATTCATCTTGATGCTATTTTTAACTGCCTCACCAAACTACAACTCCCAGGATTCCATGCTTGTGATGGGTTCATCTTAGGGTCATATTAATGCAGTCGGACCCCACTTGAACTGGCATGGCTCAATGCTATGGAAGCTTGGGGTTTGTCCTTTAGATTTGGCTTTTTACTTACTTAGGCGATCCCTCGTTGTCCGAGTAGGGTAATCCCCCAGGGTGGGTCCGTAGGTGACTGTGGAACCCTACCTGCATCTTCTCCCGCAGTGAGGGCATTGGTTTCCAGGTGGAAGGCGGTCCCGGTCGGAGTTGGCTTGATGCACCTTCCTCTTGGCACGTTTCTCTCTTTCGCCCTCCATTCAAATTCTACAACACTGCTGGTCACAGCTGACCTCCAGCTGGAGCGCTCAAGGGCCAGGGCTTCCCAGTTCTCTGTGCCAATGCCAGAGTTTTTAAGGTTGGTTTTGAGCCCATTTTTCAATCTCCTTTCCTGCCCACCAACATTCTGTTTTCCATTCTTGAGTTCGGAGTAGAGCAATGGCTTTGGGAGATGGTGGTTGGGTATCCGGATAATGTGGCCAGTCCAGCGGTGTTGATGGTGGAGCACCATCGTGTCAGAGTGTGACACCTGGGTCATGCACAGAGTACTTGAGGTTACTCAATCACACAGACTCACATAGCACACTGCAGTCTTCTTAAGTTTCAAAAATAATAAAGTTTACTGAAAGCATTTCAAGACACGTCTACATCTTGGCGGCTGAAAATGGTGACTCACAAAAGCACAGCACAAAACACAGTCAAAGAACATCTGCCCTCTGCCTTATCTGTCTTCTAGCTGGTATCCTCCCTTTTCTTCCCAAAGCAAAGGAATTCCTGTTATCTCGTTTCAAGGACTCTACTCTCTGGCCTTATTCTCTCTCTCTTATAATAACAATCTAATGCACAAATGAACAAAACTGAACATAACTGAATCCATTTTGAAATACATATGAATCCATTATTAACACATTGAAAAACATACATATAATAACTTCCAATTATCCTGACACATCGCTTCAATGCTGGTGGTCTTTGCTTCTTCCAGCACGCTGACGTATGTCCGCCTGTCTTCCCAAGAGATTTGTAGGATTGTTCGGAGGCAGCGCTGATGGAATTGTTCCAGGAGTTGCATGTGACGTCTGTAGACAGTCCACGTCTCGCAGGCGTATAGCAGAGTTGGGGGGGGGGGGGACAATCTATATAAATAAAAATGTAATGTATGTTTGTGGGATTAACAGAACTCAAAAACCACTGGATGAATTGACACCAAATTTGGACACAATACACTTATCAGGCCAACGAGTGACTATCACTCATAAGAACACTGAAAAACACAGCGGAAAGGGCTTAAAAAGCCAAAAAAAACAAAAAGACGCTACAGCGCATGGGCAAAAATGGCTCCCCCGGCAAACAAAACACACAATAGCATATCCGCACTCTCTTCCGAGCTACAGTTCCCAGCATCCGCTAGACCAGGCCCTTTAGGAGAGCAGGATGATCCAAATGTACTGCTTCCAAGCTGAAAGCTTTCTTCTCCTTAGATTTCTTTGGGAACATCACAAACCTTGCATATTTTCAATTTCCTATTCTTGGACTGCTACTCCCAGCACTCCTCTAGATAGATAGATTAGATAGAGATAGATAGGTGGGTAGATAGATCAATCGATCAGGAGAACTGCTGGGAGTTGCAGTCCAAGAGTAGGTAGAGATGGAAGGAAGGAGAGAAAGAGGAAGGGAAAGAAAAGGGGGGAGGAAGGGAAGAAGAAGAGAAGGAAGGAAGGCGAGATGGAAAGGAAAAAAGGAAGGGAAGGAGAGAATGAGGGAGTGAAGGTTGGCCACAGCAACACATGGCGGGTACAGCTAGTCTATATAAATAAAAATGTAATGTCTGTTTGTGGGATTAACAGAACTCAAAAATCACTGGATGAATTGACACCAAATTGGGACACAAGACACGTAACAACCCAATGTATGTCCTTTACTCCAAAAAAAAAAAAAGATTTTGTCATTTGGGAGTTGTAGTTGCTGGGATTATAGTTCACCTACAATCAAAGAACATTCTGAACCCCATCAACGATGGAATGGAACCAAACTTGGCACACAGTTCTCCCATGACCAACAGAAAATATTGGAAGGGTTTGGTGGGCAGTGTCCTTTGGTTTTGGAGTTGTAGTTCACCTACATCCAGAAATCACTGTGGACTCAAACAATGATGGATCGGGACCAAACTCTACACGAATACTCAATATGCCCAAATGTGAACACTGGTGGAGTTTGGGGAAAATACAATCTTGGCATTTGGGAGTTGTAGTTGCTGGGATTTCTAGTTCACCTACAATCACAGAGCACTCTGAACTCCACCAATGATAGAATTGGGCCAAACCTCCCACACAGAACCCCCATGTGGGCCACAGCAACACGTGGCAGGGGACGGCTAGTAGCTTTATAAACAAGCACCTTGGTATCCTGAGGGATGTTCCGGTCCTCAAACACTCTCTGCTTCATTCGGAAAAATGCTGCACTTGCAGAGCTCAGGCGGTGTTGAATTTCAGTGTTAATGTTGACTTTTGTGGAGTGGTGCCTGCCAAGGGAGTGGAAATGGTCAACATTTTCTAATGTTACTCTATTAAGCTGTATTTCTGGCATTGGAGAGGGATTGGCTGGTGACATGGAAAAGCACTTTTGCGAACCCCACCTTCTCCAAGATGAACTGAACCACCTAAACTGGGCTCTCCAGGGCAATGGAGACTCGACCTCAGACATCAGAAGAGCTGCAAGACAACCGAGAAGAAGCCACGAGAGTCAAGACATAGATCCACCCAGAGGGAAAGTGTTCTTGCCAGACATCAAGGGAACCACTGACCGCTTAGGGAAGCTGATTAGGAAACACAACATACAAACCACTTACAGACCCACCAAGAAAATCCAACAAATGCTACGTTCAGCAAAGGACAAGAAGGATCCTCTCACCTCCACAGGAGTCTACCGTGTACCATGCAGCTGTGGACAAGTCTACATAGGGACCACCAAATGCAGCGCCCAGACACGCATCAAGGAACATGAAAGGCACTGCAGACTACTCCAACCAGAGAAATCAGCCATAGCAGAGCACCTGATGAACCAACCTGGACACAGCATATTATTTGAGGACACAGTGCTGGACCACTCTCACAACCACCATGTCAGGCTACACAGAGAAGCCACGGAAATACACAAGCATGTGGACAATTTCAACAGAAAGGAGGAAACCATGAAAATGAACAAAATCTGGCTACCAGTATTAAAAAACTCAAAAATTACAACAGCAAAACAACAGAGGGGAAACAAACAGGCACATGAAATCACTCTAAACAAAAGATTCCCCCCAGGTGCTTCCAAGCCATTGAATGCAAATCAAGGTGATCAGCTGAAACATTCACAGTTAGCCCCAGCAAACAAAAGTCCTTTGTCTCACCCTGGTCATTCCACAGATATATAAACCCATTTTTCCTACTTCCAACAGACCTCACTACCTCTGAGGATGCTTGCCATAGATGCAGGCGAAACGTCAGGAGAAAAATTGCCTCCAGAACATGGCCATATAGCCCGGAAAAACCTACAACAACCCAAAAGCACTTTTGTTTTCTTGATGTTCAATGACAGGGTGAGCTTTAGCAGGGAAAGCTTAAAGACCTCATAAAATTACACGTCCCATAACTCCATAGCATTGAGCCATGGTAGATAACAAAGCAAGCATCATCAGTCTCAAAAGTGCCATTAAGATCTGTCATTCAATAGCATTGAGCTGTGGCAGATAAAATGGTGCCAAACAGCATGCATTCTATAATATTGATGGACCTTTAATCTGATCCGGGGGTGGGAATAAAATTTTGATAAGAAAGTTAGGTAGTTTGTACAACTGGTTCTCCATATCAGTAAATTATTGTGCATAGCTCATTTTTTTTCATTTACCATACAGCAAACTTTGCTTCTAGACCATGGCCATATAGCCCGAAAAAACCTACAACGGCCCAGTGATTCCGGCCATGAAAGCCTTCGATAATACAGTTTATTCATTGTTCTTAACATACCCCAAACCCAGTTTTTTTTAAAGGTTTCTTTTAGAAATAAACACACGAAAAGGTTGACTTTTTTGGGCCTTTTCTGTTGCAGGTCTGGCTTCCATCATGAAAAGGCTTCTCTCCAAATACGACAATCTCTTCCAGATTTCCTTCCCTTACTCCATGGGATGGCATGGTAAAGCACCTTTCCTTCCATTTGGGCATCCCCCTTTCCCCTCTTTTCACTGAAAGAAAAACAACTTTCAGCTTCAAGCCTTCCTCTGTTTGGGCAGCTTATGGCCTTCAAATCATAGAATCCTAGAGTTGGAAGAGACCTCATGGGCCATCCAGTCCAACCCCATTCTGCCAAGAAGCAGGAATATTGCATTCAAATCACCCCTGACAGATGGCCATCCAGCCTCTGTTTAAAAGCTTCCAAAGAAGGAGCCTCCACCACACTCTGGGGCAGAGAGTTCCACTGCTGAACGGCTCTCACAGTCAGGAAGTTCTTCCTCATGTTCAGATGGAATCTCCTTTCTTGTAGTTTGAAGCCATTGTTCCCTTGCGTCCTACTCTCCAGGGAAGCAGAAAACAAGCTTGCTCCCTCCTCCTCCCTGTGACTTCCTCTCACATATTTATACATGGCTATCATATTTATTTATTTATTTATGACATTTATAGCATTGGATTGTAACTCCCATCATCTCTGACCAGCCAGGATTGGAACTGGAGTTCCTATGACAGTTTCTGAAGGCCCTTGGTGCCCTTATTCCTTTTTGTGGAGGTGATATGATAACTCCAGGTGCATCTACACTGTGGATTTAATTCAGCTTAACAGCACTTGAACTCCCTTGGCTTAGTGTTATCTAATCATGGGAGAGTTGTAGTTTTGCAAGGCCTTAGCTTTCTCGGTCAAAGAGGACTGGTTCCTCGCTAAACTATAAATCTCTTGATTCTGTCGCATTGAGCCAAGGGAGTTAAAGTGGTGTCAAACTGCATTAATTCAATTTTGTAGATCCGACCTTCTTTAAATAGTTGGGAGAATATGGAAGGGAGGCAGGGCTTTCCCTATTCTTGCTGCCAGTTAATATTGTTATTATTTTTATATTTATTTATAGCTTGCTTTTATCTCTTGATTAAAGCACAGAGCAGCTCACAATATAAAAAAAAAACCAGTGCAATTTAACATCCAAAATTTACAAACAGTAAAATAGAATTGCCTCTGGGTTCCTGGCACTGTCTCTTGGGAAGAGAACAAGGGTCTGGAGAACAAGCCCTATGAGGAGCGGCTTATGGAGCTGGGCATGTTTAGCCTGAAGAAGAGAAGGCTGAGAGGAGACATGATAGCCATGTATAAATATTTGAGAGGAAGTCATAGGGAGGAGGGAGCAAGCTTGTTTTCTGCTGCCTGGAGACTAGGACACGGAACAATGGCTTCAAACTACAAGAAAGGAGATTCCATCTGAACATGAAGAACTTCCTGACTGTGAGAGCCGTTCAGCAGTGGAACTCTCTGCCCCGGAGTGTGGTGGAGGCTCCTTCTTTGGAAGCTTTTAAACAGAGGCTGGATGGCCATCTGTCAGGGGTGATTTGAATGCAATATTCCTGCTTCTTGGCACAATGGGGTTGGACTGGATGGCCCAGGAGGTCTCTTCCAACTCTAGGATTCTAAGAGACCTCCCAATTATTTCCCATTGTCCCACCAAACTACAAATCCAGGATTCCATAGCAAAGGGTTAAAGTTGTGTCAAAGAGGCCATTTACTGCTTCAGGGGTGCATCTACACCATAAAACCAATGCAGTTTGACATCACTTTGGTTGCAACTTGAAGAATTAGGGTCTTCCACAGGCTTGGGCAAACTTGGGCCTGCCCTCCAGGTGTTTTGGACTTCAACTCCCACAATTCCTAACAGTCTACCGGCTGTTAGGAATTGTGGGAGTTGAAGTCCAAAACACCTGGAGGGCAGACCCAAGTTTGCCCAAGCCTGGTTTTCTATTATTCTCAACTTTATAAAACTACAACTCTCATGATTCCAAAGCAGTGAACCATGGTGGTTAACTGTCATGCACCCTCAGCCACAAACATGCGACAAGATTCCTTCGCACTCCTTCCTTTCTCATCTTGGCCCTCCTCTTCCGGCCTTCGCTTGTGCTGTCTTCTGGCCATTTGCTGCATGGCACCTTATGCTCATTGGGCCCTTCTGTCCGGCAGGTGCCCCGACCGGATCGTACTTGGACACTGACTGCAGCCACTGGCAGCTCCATGCACATTATTACCCACCTTTGCTGCGTTCGGCCTCGGTGCGGAAGTTCATGGTAGGCTACGAAATGCTGGCTCAGGCCCAGAGGGACTTGACTCCGGAGCAAGTGAGTGGGACTGCAGAAATGTTGTTGTTGTTGTTATTATTATTTTACCGATGCAAAAACACAGTATATCACAGCAAATGACATAAGTTCCAGTGAATCATTTGGGCCGCAGAGTTGTGCCTCTGTTTGTAGTCCGTCTGTGTGATTTTCTGAGGATATGGTCCATAGTTTCATCAGCTTCCTTGCAGAGTCTGCATTTGGGGTCATCAGCTGATTTTTGATCCTGGCTTTAATTGCATTTGTTCTGGTGGGTGCCATCTTGTTGTGGTGGGGGGCTTAACTTCACTTAACTGCTCCAAGGATGCTGAGATCTGTGCTGGTGTAGTGTAACTACCAGTAGGTGCAACCAAGCCAGAGAGGTCTCAGCTGAGGAGTGGACCCAAGAGCACCTAACCCATTAGCACTATGGAGAAGCAAACCGAAACGAAGTCTATACTGGTTTGGTCGTTGCCCAGGATAAAAAGGGCTGTGGTGGATGCTCTGATTCTGGACATCCATCGACAAGTGGGCTACAGAATCAAAATAAAAATGAACAATCATAGAAGTGGCAGAAATATACAATGCCAGAAAACCACACAGTTGTTCAATGTATTGTCGAAGGCTTTCATGGCTGGAATCACTGGGTTGTTGTAGGTTTTTTCGGGCTGTATGGCCATGGTCTAGAGGCATTCTCTCCTGACGTTTTGCCTGCATCTATGGCAAGCATCCTCAGAGGTAGTGAGGTCTGTTGGACTAGGGAAAAGGGGTTTATATATCTGTGGAATGACCAGGGTGGGACAAAGGACTCTTGTCTGCTGGAGCTAGGTGTGAATGTTTCAACTTGACCACCTTGATTCATTTAATGGATTGGAAGTGCCTGGGGGGAATCTTTTGTTGAGAGTGATTTGATGTGCCTGATTGTTTACTCTCTGTTGTTTTGCTGTTGTAATTTTAGAGTTTTTTTAATACTGGTAGCCAGATTTTGTTCATTTTCATGGTTTCTTCCTTTCTGTTGAAATTGTCCACATTGTTGTGGATTTCAATGGCTTCTCTGTGTAGTCTGACATGCCAGGCTAGGCTACATAGAGAAGCCACTGAAATCTACAAGCATGTGGACAATTTCAACAGAAAGGAAAAACCATGAAAATGAACAAAATCTGGCTGCCAGTATAAAAAAAACCTCTAAAATTATAACAGTAAATAAAGAGAAACAATCAAGGACATCTAATCACCTCTCAACAAAAGATTGCCCCAGGCACTGCCAGGCCATTAAATGCTAATCAAGGTGGTCAGTTGAAACATTCACACCTAGCTCCAGCAGACAAGAGTCCTTTGTCCCACCCTGGTCATTCCACAGATATATAAACCCTTTTCCTAGTTCCAACAGACCTCACTACCTCTGAGGATGCTTGCCATAGATGCAGGCGAAACGTCAGGAGGGAATGCCTCTAGAACATGGCCATATAGCCCGAAAAAACCTACAACCCAGTGATTCTGGCCATGAAAACCTTTGACAAAACATATGTGAGTAGTTGAATAGGTACTGCTTTAGCTGGAAGGTAATGGCACACCTTGAAGTCATGCTGACCACAAGACCTTGGAGCTGTCTATGGACAATGCCGGCTCTTTGGCTTAGAAATGGAGATGAGCACCACCCCCCAGAGTCAGACATGACTCAGGAGAAACCTTTACCTTTACTTATCATACCCCTCTGAGCCATGCTAGACATCTCCAGCTATTTATTTATCGTGTCATCAGCAACCATACCATTGTATTACATTTCTAACAGAACAAAACAAACACACACATTAAAAAAAAACAGATTTTGAAAACTTGGTAGTTGGTTAAATGTCCTTTGAGCAGTATCTGGCCCCTTGGAGTGCCTCTGGTGTTACTATAAGAAGGTCCTCCATTGTGCATGTGGCAGGGCTCAGGGTGCATTGCAGCAGGTGGTCAGTGGTTTGCTCCTCTCCGCACTCGCATGTCGAGGATTCCACTTTGTGGCTCCATTTCCTACAGTTGGCTCTGCATCTGGTGGTGCCAGAGCACAGTCTGTTCAGCGCCTTCCAAGTCGCCCAGTCTTCTATGTGCCCAGGGGGGAGTCTCTCATTTGGTATCACCCATGGATTGAGGTGCTGGGTTTGGGCCTGCCACTTTTGGACTCTCGCTTGCTGAGGTGTTCCATCGAGTGTCTCTGTAGATCTAAGAAAACTATGTCTTGATTTAAGTCGTTGACATGCTGGCTGATACCCAAACAGGGGATGAGCTGGAGATATCTCTGCCTTGGTCCTTTCACTATTGGCTGCTACTTCCTGGTGGATGTCAGTTGGTGCCTTACCGGCTAAACAGTGTAATTTCTCCAGTGGTGTAGGGCGCAGACACCCTGTGATAATGCGGCATGTCTCATTAAGAGCCACATCCACTGTTTTAGTGTGGTGAGATGTGTTCCACACTGGGCATGCATACTCAGCAGCAGAGTAGCATAGCGCAAGGGCAGATGTCTTCACTGTGTCTGGTTGTGATCCCCAGGTTGTGCCAGTCAGCTTTCGTATGATGTTGTTTCTAGCGCCCACGTTTTGCTTGATGTTCAGGCAGTGCTTCTTGTAGGTCAGGGCACGGTCCAGAGTGACTCCCAGGTATTTGGGTGTGTTGCAATGCTCCAGTGGGATCCCTTCCCAGGTAATCCTCAGAGCTCGTTTCTCTTCAAAGGGATTCATGGTTTCCAGGCCTTTGCCCATTTTGCCCATTGTATGTTTGCTAGAGAGTGGTGGGATTCCCTGTGACCTTCCCTTTTCCCAGAGAACCAACATGGGACTGTGAAGGGTCTGCCTCTGAGTTACGCCTCCGGTTGTGTGCCATTCTCAGTCTATAAAAAGCGATCAATAAACGCTTGTCTTGGAGAGGCATTCACATGATGGATAAGCCCATAGCCTCCAACAAGTACTGCATCCATCATACCCATTGAGAACAATATTAGAGGAACTGGAAACAAAGATTTGTAGGGAGGACAAAGAAATGTAGGAACAATCAGTGGCTTGAGCTTCAGAGTGACTCTGAGACCTCCCTCTTTTCAGGGAGCTTTTGTTTACAATAAATAATAATAATAATAATAATAATAATAATAATAAACCTTTGCGGCTTACAAGAGGCCGAGCCCAAAGTACATCATTAACAAAAACACAACAGACAACAATACAATGCAACAATAAATAAGCAAGCAATAAAACAATAACAAAAGCACAGCACTGTTAAAAACCTGTGGCAGGGCCAAATGTAATAGTTAAAATTCTAAAAATGCTGGGCATGTCCAGGCGAGGTCGACTGGATATTTTGGGAATCGAAGGGTGTGCAGACAATTCTAACTCTCTCATAAAGTGCATTAGGGACAATTGTTTGGGATTCCTTAATCTGGGAAGGCACAGTGGAACATCCATGTTTTCAAGCTCCTTCTGAAGACTGGCCGTGTTGGGGAGTGCCTGATGTCCTTGGGGAGGGAATTCCAGAGTCGTGGGGCCACCACCGAGAAGGCCCTGTCCCTCATCCCCACCAATCGCGCTTGCGATACTGGTGGGATCGTGAGCAGGGCCTCAACAGAAGGGATTGTGTGGGTTCGTATATGGAAATGCGGTCACGCAGGTAGGTGGGTCCCAAACCGCTTATGGCTTTATAGGTAAGCACCTGCACCTTGAATTGGGACCGGAAAATGAACGGCAGCCAATTGAGCTCCTCAAACAGGAGGGTTGACCTCTCTCTGTAAGGAGCATCAGTTAACAGCCTGGCCGCCACCTGTTGAACCAACTGAAATTTCCAGGCCGTCTTTTTATTATTATTATTATTAAACTTTATTTGTACCCCGCTAGCATCTCCCGAAGGATTCGATGTGGCTTACACAGGCTAAGGCCTCAAGACGCAACATAACAATATAATCTAAGCAAATCAACAATTAAAAACAGAATAAAGCAAAAATAAACAACAGGCAAAAAAAATACATTAAACACAATAGAACTGGGCCGGCCAGAGTAATGGGTACAAGAATTAAAAGTGCTGATGTGACAGGAGGTGTATATGAGGCTTCCAGGGCAAGTGCGATGTGCGATGTGCAGCAATCATTGGTTCTAGTAAACTGCTTATGGGACTTGGTAATGGAGATTTCCTAATCTGGGAAGGCGCATCGGAAAAGCCAGGTCTTCAAGTTCTTTCTGAAGACTGCCAGTGTAGGGGCCTGTGTAAGATCTTTGGGGAGGGTGTTCCAGAGTCGGGGGGCCACTACGGAAAAGGCCCTGTCCTGCGTCACCACCAAGCGCGCTTGCGACGCAGGTGGGATCACGAGCAGGGCCTCTCCAGATGAACGAAGGGAGCGCGTGGGTTCATAAATGGAGATGCGGTCACGCAGGTAGGCTGGTCCCAAACCGTTCAGGGCTTTGTAGGGCTGCACCTTAAATTGGGCTCGGAATATAAACGGCAGCCAGTGGAGCTCCTTGAACAGGAGGGTTGACCTCTCTGTAAGGGGCCCCAGTTAGCATCCTGGCTGCTGATCGTCTTCAAGGGCAGCCCCACGTAGAGTACGTTACAGTAGTCCAATAGTAGTAGTAATTGGACTATTACAGTAGTCCACGGACCACCTGCTGCAATGCAACCTGAGCCCTACTACATGCACAATGGAGGACCTCCTTGCAGCAACACCAGAAGCACTCCAAGTGGCCAGATACTGGTCAAAGGACATCTAATCAACTACCAAACTCACAAATTTTGTATTCTGTATTTTGTATTTTTGTATTTTGTCTGTTTGTTTGCTTTGTTCTGTTAGAAATGTAATATAATTGACAGGTTGCTGATGACTCGATAAATAAAATAAATAGTAGTCCAATCTGCGTTACAATAGTCCAAGTAGTACAATGCAAGTACCTCTTCTTATCTGCCCCTGGTTCATGTTTCTTCCCCTCCCAGGCTGCTGAGCGCCTGAGGAACCTGCCTGAAGAACATTACCGCCTGAAAGAGAGGGACGCTTCCTAGCGCAAACCTTGGTGGGCTTCGGACTCTGACCGTTGGACGACCGCTGCAGTTTCCACCAAGGAGGTTTCCGCAGCCTGGACTCTCTTGCTAGCGCTTTCTGGCTCTGGTCAACCGCAACAGATTGGGATAATTCTGCCTTGGGGTCTTAATGAAGTTTTGTGAGTCTTGGTGCTTCCTCTAGTGACACAAGGCATTTTTTGCATCTCGCAAGGACTGTAATTACCTTTTATGTAATTCAAGGAGTGGAAGTTCAGGGAAACTTTATGCTCAAGGACAGATTTTAATGTTCCCCGTATTTCCTTAGCTGTGCATCCCCAGTGCTGGGGAGCTGATGGGATTGATGCAAATCTTTACAGAGAAAGAGGTGGATGTGTTCATTTGCCTGTCTCTCCATTTTTGCAGGGGATACAGGTACAACTCTACTGCAAAAGTGGAAAAACTGTGGTGGTGGTGGTGGTTGGGAGAATGGGGTGCTATTGCTGTAGTCCTGGGGGGCTACTCATCATCGTTCCAGGGAGAAGAGAAAGAATGGGTCCTGATCCACTTCGCTTGGCATATTTTGTTGTGTAATAGTTGCATGTTTTGTCAGAAAAAGAGTCTGGAGTTAAAATTGCCGGAAGAAACATCAACAACCTTAGATATGCAGATGATACCACTTTGATGGCTGGAAGTGGAACTAGGAAAATGGATTTATATATATGTGGAATGACAACCCATTTTCCTAGTTCCAACAGACCTTACTACCTCTGAGGATGCTTGCCATAGATGCAGGCGAAACGTCAGGAGAGAATGCCTCTAGAACATGGCCATATAGCCCGAAAAAACCTACATCAACCCAGTGATTCTGGCCATGAAAGCCTTCGACAATAAAGTGGGGTGTTTTTGGTTGGGCTGTGTAATCCAAACCATAAGTGTGAACCCTCCCAAAATGTGGCCCCAACCAAGTACATCATTGCTGTAGAATGAATGCAACTTAACTGCCATGGTTCAAGGGCATAGAATCCTGGAAGTTGTAGTTTTGCAAAGGCCTCCAGTTGTAGTTTTGCAAAGGCCTCCAGTCTCCCAGAGCATTGGTGCCTCACCAGGCTACAGCTGCCAGGATCCCATAGCTTTGAGATAAAGTGGTGTTAAACTGCATTCGTTGTACAGTGTAGATGGGCACCTTCTACCTTTTCAGAACTCCAACCACCCCAGTAATATGGTGCTTAAAAATATAAATATATATATAAATATAAAACTTGATATGAAGGGAAAAATAATAAAAATATTCAGAACTACCTACTAAAGACATCTAACTAACTACTTGTTAGTAGAATCATAGAATCCTAGAGTTGGAAGAGACCTCCTGGGCCATCCAGTCCACCCCCATTCTGCCAAGAAGCAGGAAAATTGCATTCAAAGCACCCCTGACAGATGGCCACCCAGCCTCTGTTTAAAAGCCTCCAAAGAAGGAACCTCCACCACACTCCGGGGCAGAGAGTTCCACTGCTGAACAGCTCTCACAGTCAGGATGTTCTTCCTCATGTTCAGGTGGAATCTCCTTTCTTGTAGTTTGAAGCCATGGTTCCTTGTCCTAATCTCCAGGGAAGCAGTAAACAAGCTTCCTCCCTCCTCCTCCCTGTGGCTTCCTCTGACATATTTATACATGGCTATCATATCTCCTCTCATCCTTCTCTTCTTCAGGCTAAACATGCCCGGCTCTTTAAGCCGCTCCTCATAGGGCTTGTTCTCCAGACCCTTGATCATTTTAGTGCCCTCACTAATGCTTCCTCTTCATCTTGGAAAGAAGTGACAAGTGGAGTGCCGCAGGGTTCCGTCCTGGGCCCGGTCCTGTTCAACATCTTTATTAATAACTTAGATGAAGGGCTAGAAGGCATGATCATCAAGTTTGCAGACGACACCAAATTGGGAGGGATAGCCAATACTCCAGAAGACAGGAGAAGAATTCAAAACGATCTTAACAGATTAGAGAGATGGGCCAAAACTAACAAAATGAAGTTCAATTGGGACAAATGCAAGATACTCCACTTAGGCAGAAAAAAAGAAATGCAAAGAAACAGAATGGGGGACAATGTCTGGCTCAATAGCAGTACGTGTGAAAAAGATCTTGGGAATCCTCGTGGACAAGTGTAACATGAGCCAACAATGTCATGCGGCAGCTAAAAAAGCCAATGAGATTTTGGCTTTCATCAATAGCAGTATAGTGTCTAGAGGAAGTAATGCTACCCCTCTATTCTGCCTTGGTTAGATCACACCTGGAATATTGTGTCCAATTCTGGGCACCACAATTCAAGAGAGATATTGACAAGCTGGAATGTGTCCAGAGGAGGGTGACTAAAATGATCAAGGGTCTGGAGAACAAGCCCTATGAGGAGCAGCTTAAAGAGCTGGGCATGTTTAGCCTGAAGAAGAGAAGGCTGAGAGGAGATATGATAGCCATGTATAAATATGTGAGAGGAAGCCACAGGGAGGAGGGAGCAAGCTTGTTTTCTGCTTCCTTGGAGACTAGGACGCAGGGAACAATGGCTTCAAACTACAAGAGAGGAGATTCCATCTGAACATGAGGAAGAACTTCCTGACTGTGAGAGCCGTTCAGCAGTGGAACTCTCTGCCCCAGAGTGTGGTGGAGGCTCCTTCTTTGGAAGCTTTTAAACCGAGGCTGGATGGCCATCTGTCAGGGGTGATTTGAATGCAATATTCCTGCTTCTTGGCAGAATGGGGTTGGACTGGATGGCCCATGAGGTCTCTTCCAACTCTTTGATTCTATGATTCTATGATTATTGGTAGATAAGTATTTCGGAAATAATAATAGAAATATGCAGTAGGTATTATAGCTCAGCAGCAGTCACAGCAGCCAGGGACTGATGGGTTCACTGATGATGGGAAAGCACCACCAGGCAGACACGGGTAATGCACAAGGTGCTGTGTGTATCTGCAGGCACAATACAGAGTTGGAAGAGACCTCATGAGCCATCCAGTCCAACCCCCTGCCAAGAAGCAGGAATATTGCATTCAAAGCACCCTTGACAGATGGCCATCCAGCCTCTGTTTAAAAGCCTCCAAAGAAGGAGCCTCCACCACTGTATAACAAACTAAAATTGAACTATATATGACCTCCAGTGGACCAGGTTATGATTTCAATTATTAAATAGTTCTTCTGCTTTAAGGGGGCGGGGGGAGAATATAAATTTCAATCATGTCACTGACTTTTAAATGCTGGGTCAAAGCAGTTCCTGGGCAGAGCAGAAATTATTCATAAGTGAAGACAAAGGAGACCAGAACAATTATATTTTTTGTCCAAGGCTGGAATACGTGTCCTTTTAGAGGTTTCTGTATTCGCTGTATGCAAAGCGTTTCCGAAATAGAACAGAGTTAAGCAAACTCTTTTGGGGAGGATCGTTTTGGCGCTCGGGCTCTCGATGCCCTTTTCCTCTTGTTTGTTTGTCTCCTGATCCAAATCTTTGTAATTAAAAATGAAGACAATCTGTTCACTGCGGCTTGAGGCTTTTGTTGGCGCTTTTCTAGTGGAATCAAGGGTTTCCGTGCCATTGGGTGCGTCTATACCAGGCATGGGCAAACTTCGGCCCTCATGGTGTTTTGGACTTCAACTCCCACAAGTCCTAACAGCCGGTAGGACTTTTTGCTGGAGTCTTTTATGGCCTCATAAATTAGTTAATTTAGCTTCCCCACACTTTAAGGTGGTACCTAATTTTCCTACTTGACAGATGCAACTGTCTTTCGGGTTGCAAAGCTCGACAACGGGCTACACAATTGGTTGGAAACCCACTCCAACCCGGGCTGGCTTCGAACTCATGACTTTTTGGTCAGAGTGATCTTACTGCAGCTGACACTCAGCCAGCTGCACCACAATACATGCAGTTTGACTCCACTTGAGTTATAAAGAGTAGAAGTGGTGTCACGCTGCATTAATTCTGCAGTGTGGATGCACCCTTAGTTAACGAAGTAGATGTGTGTTCAATGAAATAAATTGCCTGGAGAGGTAAGAAGGGCCTCTTTCTCCAAATTGCCTGTCAACTTGTGGCAACTCCATACATTTCATAGGGTGTTTTGCCAGTTCCTTCCTCTGAAATGCCACCTACAGCACCTGGTATTCCTTGGTTGTCTCCCATCCAAGCTAAGCTGACCCTGCTTAGCTTCCAAAATCAGATGGGATTTGGTGCCTTAAGAATATTCTCTCCCTTCCTGATTCATCTGCAAAGAGGGAGGGGAATTAATTGTAATTAAAGCAACTTCTCCAGTCTTGGGTGAGCGTTTGCCCCTCTCTCTCTCAAGCCCTGTGTCACTTGGGTTTTGAAATAAGAACGCTCTGTGTTTGGACCCTCATTGTCAGCTTTGGAAAGTGAATCTCGAAACACTTCGTTCCAGACGGCGTTCTTTAATTAACGGTAGTTTTATTTTGGAAGGCCCTGAAGGTGCAGCCGATGTTTTATTGTCTCCGTGCGATGCTCCTGGATTGGATTTCAAATCGTTCTCTTTGATGTTTGTTCCTTCTTACCAGCTGCTTTTTCGTGCCTGCTTCCAAAGAAGGCAGGGCACTATCTTTAAAAATTAATGGATTATTTAATTAAAAATGGTGCATCCCCCCCCCCCCCAACCCTGCTCAAAAC